CAAAATAACAAAAAAGAGACACTGAATCATATAAAACCAGAAACATCACTATAAACCAAAAATCACAAGACTGCGTCTGATTTTCTTTGGCCATGTCATGTGTGCAAATTCATTGGAAAGGCAATGATGCTAGAATGGTTAACGGATCAAGAATGGGCAAGCAAAGAATTTGCTGGATTATAGTTAAAGCTGATACAAAGATTGAACACCCAATAACTGAAAGAAGCTGTACTTGACAGGGTAGCATGGAGAGTACTTGCCTATAAAGTTGCCAAGAGTCAGAGTGACTGGTTAAAACTAATTATAGAATGGATATGGATATAGAATGGAAGTTACTTGGCTTGGCAAGTAGCAAGATACTAGGACAATAATTAATATTGATATGGCTGCAAAAAACAGCAAATGAAATTATAAATTGCTTCAACAGAAATGATTTCTAAATCATGTATTGTGTATCATGCGGAGGGAGTAGAAAAAACAGGTTTAAGCACAAGACCTTGAAATAATCTTTTTTTTAATGAGTGCAGAAACAGCAATAGCATAGATAGTGTAACTTAATGGCTTTTGATTAGAAAACAGTTGGAGGGAGTGCCATTGGTGTCTGACTCAGGACTTCGCAGAGCACTTATTTTCTCCCTTTTCTAACCTGCTAATCTTGCAAAATATCTAGTCACAACTTGGCAATAGGCTTCCAAGTCTTGCTGACATAAATGGGATCACTGTAGAGGTGAGCAAATGGAGTTTTTAAGTTTCAGTGATATAGACAAAGAGGATTTTATTCATCCTCTGGAAAACAGCTGTTGCTTTTCCAATGCAACTCTTGATATCCCTCATTGCATCTCCATTTCAAGCGATTACACTGCCCAAATAGGTAAAAAACCTTTCTACTTCTTCAAGTGGTTGTGTGATCCATGTGTGATTCCCTGTATCTGTGCGGTGGAGCTCACATACATGATCTACATGATTCCTCCATACTTATCCTGAGGTCAATTTGGTTGCTTCTTCATCTACTGTAAGGCAGTTGTCACTTGTATTTTCATATCATCTTCCTCAAGTAGGACAATATCATCTGCCACTCATTACATAGGACAGCAATTTGACTACGTACATTTGTTTTCACAGTCTGTTGCAAAGATTAAGTTTAAAAACTAGTCCCAAAATCTTACTGGTAATATTTTATTTAACTTTACATGGCATTACTAGAATATACCCTGGAACATACAGTCACTATGGCATCTACTATTAGTAAACTCCTGTTATTTAGGACAGTCATGCTTAGTTCACACGTCTTATACACCCAGCCCTGAGTGATCTTTACCAGCCAGAAGTGTTATTTTACTTGGATTCTATCTTTTGTGTCTCTGTCTTTGGCAAATAAACTGCCTTAAAATTGTGGAGCATGCTGATAGATTTTTGATAGAATTAAAATATACCGGTAGTTCTTTCCCATTTTTTCCAGTCATTGCAAATTGCTACTTTTTCATATTAATGTGGAAAATTAGGAGCAAATGTGTTTAGACACAGAAGGGACTTTGCTACTGTATATCATCTAAAACAGCTGACAACATGTTCTGAGCAGTAGCAGATAGCAATGTCCTAGGAACAGTAGCTATATGATCCAGTTTACCTCTTTTACCACTCAGAGAACAACTAAATTGCTGACCTATAATTTTATAATAATTGAGTTAGAAGGAACATAAAAATGCTAACTCTCAGTTAAACCAAAGCTAGCATTTTAATTAATTGACACAGAGACAATAGTTTCTGTTCGAAGGTAAATCCACTATTGTGATCTATATTCATGCAAAATTTCTAAAAATGTGCAGGAAGAGAATGTGCTTTATAATCCCTTTGCCAGTGTGGTTTTCCAATCCACTGGATTCTTTTCCATAAAAACACAAAGTGTTTTTAAAAGGAGTTAACTAACAGGAATTGCACTTTTCTTAATAACTGTATCCTGTGAATTATTCTACAATGCTATTTTTCTACCTCACAGAGTTCCTTTAGCAATAGTGCAATGTTTTTCAAACTTGGCAACTTCAAGATGTGTGGATTTCAGCTCTCCAAGAATCCTGGTTGGGAATTCTGGGAGTTGGGATCCACATATCTTAAAGTCGTCAAGTTAAAAAAAAATGCAACAGATTGTCCTAACTTGCCTATGTTACTATGCAAAGCGACAAAAGAATTATTTAGATCAGGGGTCACCAACCTTTCGGACCTCAGGGACCACTAAATTCATAATTTTAAATCCTACGGACCACTAATATGATTTTTTTAAAAAAGATAAATAGTATTTAGTGCAATATAAAAAATGCAAATAATTTTTCTGTGGACCATCAAAATTTTCTCGCAGACCACCAGGGGTCCATGGTTGGTGACCACTGATTTAAATTAACAAAGATAAAAAGGAATTTGGAAATCCTCTAATCTAATCTTGTTTAAGCAGGACACCTTATATCATTCTGGACAAATGACCATTCAATCTCTTAAAAATCTCCAGTATTAGAGCACCCATAACTTTTGAAGGCAAGCTGTTCCATTGATTAATTGTTCTCACTAACAGGAAATTTTTCCTTAATTCTAGGTTGGATCAAGGAGACATTTCCTATTCAGATTTCCAGGTAGCACAGAAGTCTTCTTATGTAGCAACTCATTCTATAACAGGACATGGAGGATCCCTCAGTCACCTTCTTTATTGTGTAATATACCTTTGATCTTAGCCAGTTACATTCTTAAGAGGAAACTCAATGCAATCTGGATGCTTGTGGTTAGCATGTCATGGCTTTGGGTGAGAGCAAAATAACCAGTTACTATGAAACCAGAGACTCTATGTGTAAGCAATCTAGCCAATATATATCCTCTACCTGATCTGAAATGAGACACCAAATCAAATTCAAGCTCAGAAGAATCTTGTTGAAATGCAGGATTAGGATAAATAATGAAAATTTGATTGAGCAAGAAGGAAGAAATGTACAGTCATCCAAAGCTCACAATAAAGTTAATGTTCACTCACGGCAATTTACCTTAAGAAAAAACTTATTCTGTTTCATTTAGCAATGAAAAGAAAATGGTCAGTGAATGCCAGAAGAATTTTATGAAGTGGCAATTCTTACTTGATTGTTAACCCACGTGGGTAAATATTTCTAGGTTTCAGATGAGCTGCTGGAATGGAATTGGAAAGAGCCATGCTCTAATCCAACCTCAGCAGAAATCCATTGGGTAACTTTGGCTCAACCATTCCTTAATTTAGTGCATTTCACAAGGTTGAGGGGAAAATGGGAGAAATGAGTGCGATGGATGCCAAACTGAATTGGGCAATATACTATAAATTGAATACATACAGTATATACCTATATACATGTGGGGATAGGCAATTAAGGAAATAAAAGGTAATATAATGCAATCATTTATTTCCATAGTGAAAAAAGCAAGGCTGTGTGAAACTTGTTACCATCATAAATAATAACCCCCAAAAATGGCAAGCAAAGGGGCAAAGTTCCAAGAATGGCTAGGCTTTTATGGTTAGTCATAAGATACTTGGATTTCTTAGCTGTTGAGGTCGTTATTGGTCTAGCGATTAAGGTACAATGTTAGGAACTGTGAGACTATGATTTCTAGTCCCACCTTAGCTATGAAAGCTAGTTGGGTGATTTTGGGCCAGTTACTCTCTCTCACCCCAACTCACTACAAAGGGTTGTTCTGGTAGGGAAAATAGGAGGAGAAAGGTGTGTTGGATATGTTAATCACCTTGAGTTATTTATAAAAATAATAAAAGTCGGAAATAAATAAAGTCACTGAATGTTTTCAGAGTTACACTGAAGTGACACAGGAAATTGAAATCCATTTATTAATTCTTGGTAGCACTAAGATCTCTAGTTTTTTCTTCTATGTGGTATCAGCCACTTATTAATGATAATTTTTTTCCCCAGAGCAATAAAAAATAGCGTCTCGAGCAATATGTGACGATCTTCCAAACAGAAGTATGAAGCTTACAAGAAAACTGGATTTAGCTTCCTAAAAAATTAGGATTGGGCCCACTCCGTAAGGCAGAGCCACCAATGAAAACGCTGTTACCTGGTCTTATGCCCAGTGAGGTATTGGAATACTCAACAGGTGCAACCAGGAAATTCAAACAGGCTGATTTTCCCATGGCATTCCCTCATAAAAACTGGTGCCTCCCCCTAGGCCCCTAGTCAGCACTTACATGCATTTATGTCAAACATAGAAAGCTGTTGATCCAGCTTCTAATGGTGTACTTTAGAACTTCTTTGCCTTCCCATGAACTCTACTGTGCCAAGACTAACTGACAGCACTCAAGGCTTTCCACAGTGACTATAGAAAGTTGATAAATCTGTAGAACATTTGAACCTGTCCTTCATGCTAGCTTTTTCCATTGGTGTAGAACCATCTCTTAATTGTTGTCCACGCACTAAAATCTAAGTTCTTCATACTTCAGTAGGTTTCAAATGTTTGGAATAGAATTCAACATTACCTTATTATCATAACCCCTTATTTCTTATCCAAGCACCTTGTTTATAAGGTCATAAGTATTAAAGCTATATGAAGTATTAACTTCCAACATGCAGTAACCCAGCCCTTGCTATCTTCACTGTAAGGTATCCTATATGCAAAATATATAAAAAAGAAAGAATGTTATCAAAATAATCTTAAAATAATCTTAATTTAAAATTTTTGAAACCCTAACCTAGCACCTTGTTAAAGCACAATATTCCAACTATCTGCATCTTTCTCATGTTTATCGTCAAACAATTTGTTAACAATGAATAAAACTGTAAAGTTTCTTTATATACATTAAAAAGCAAGAGAAATAATTTTCATCTGCATTTAGTGCAACCTTGTTTCACACTTTGGCTATTGTGGCAGCATCTTCCAATTAAAACATGGCCCAAAACACTAATAAAATAAAAATAAAGAATATTAATATTCCCCTTAATGTTAATAAAAATATTAAGAGAATATTACAGAAAAGATAGACATAGTGTAGTCATAAAGCACAAAATTTTATTAAATTAGAGGAAAGCTTAAAAACATGAATGTATTATACAAAAGTGCACAAAATGAATCAGGCATAAAGCATATAAAAATAGTATTTTTCATGCATGTTTTAAAAAATGTCTTAAACTGAGATAGTGACTAACTAGTTCAAAATAAGAAAAATAATAAATGAAATAGATGACTTGCAATGACTATAAAGTTAAGGTAGCTGAGACCCTCTTGTCTAGCTTATCTGAAATATAGCATTCTTCTCATTGTTTTCTTAAAGGAAGTTGCACGCCATCCTTTCCGTGCATCTTGTGTTTCATATGTTTCTTTGGAGAGAAGGGTTTACTTTTCAAAAGTTCTTCCTTCTTAAGCTCCCAAGCTTCATCCTTCTCATCCAGTTGGATTCCCTTTGATTTTGCCATCTGGCAATATGCCCTGTATTCTATTTCAGCTCTAGATCAAAAGGAAAGAGGAAACAATTTTGGATAGTTGATAAATGGGAGATATTGCATCCGCGTTGACCATAAGCTCCTCTTGACCTCAGTTCTAAAATTAATTAAAAGCAAAACAGCTTTGGCTTTGCTTTCTCAAAGCCTAGAGGACACTAACGCAACAAAATATGGGGAAATTCCTTAAATACATATGGAGGCTTTATCATTACTGCAGTTCAGCTCTACAGAGAAATATCATTTTAAGAGCAATGAAGACAACATCACTGAATGCTTATTTAGGCAAAGAGAAAGCAGGAGGCAATCACTCATAAAGATTTGCTAGTACAATTACTATCCTCAATCCAACTGTGTTATATTTTACTTCCTTGAACAGAGGGTTGTGAATTTTAAAGTTGTTTCCTCATAGAATAGAGGATGTGGAGAGAGCAGATGGGAAGGTGTCAAACGTGAGGAAGAGGGGATTTTGGGGGGGGGGAAGAGAATGACATAAAAAGGCATACAGGTACTCTTCTACTTCCAACTGTTCATTTAGTGACTGTTCCAAGTTACAATGGCACTGAGAAAAGTGACATGACCATTTTTTCACGCAACCCATTGCAGAATCTCCATGGTCACATGATCAAAATTCAGCAACTGACTATTTGTGATGATTGCAGTGTTCTGGCTTCATGTGGTCATCCCTTGCAAGTCAAGGACAACCTATACTGATGGAAAGAGCAGGTCCCAAAGACCAGCCCACAAAGGAAAAGCAATTAATTGTTTGCTTTCCCAACATGCATTGGGAGAAAAGAAGCAGGGACATCCACCAACTGGAGATTTGGTTAAGTGTAATGTGGTGAAAATGGAGGAAAAGGTTGAAGGTTTAGAAAGGCTGAGAGTTAAATAGATTAATACTGCTGTGCAGAAAGTTATTGGGCTTTAAAGCCCAAACATTTTGAGTTGATTTAAGATCATTCTCAGAAACCCTGCTCATTATCCATTATCTTCATCCCAAACCGTATGATCTGGAAATGCAAAAAATAGGAGAGGTGCAGCTCTTATGCCATTGCTCTAAAATACTACTCCTAAAGTAGATTTGGCTGGCTGCTCTTTTAATGTTATTTTAAAAGGTTTTAATTTTTGAAAGATCTTTAATATGTGATTTGACTGTTTTTTTTTAAAAACAGATTTTTGTATTGACTGATTTGGATACTATCAATTTGAATTGTTTTGATAATTTCATTTCCCCCTCTAACTCTGGACTGAAGTAAGCCCCTTTGCTCCACCACAAACTAGCATTAGGAAAGTTACAGGGTCACCTGCCTTAATTCTTTTGCCAATACCGTGCTTACATTTCTAAGAATTTGACGCAGGCTTTGTGCCCATAGATTTCTGCAATTCTTCTTGGGACATCTCCATAGAGATCTGGGGCATCCATCGGTGCGTGCAAGGAGTGCAGTGTTCTCAACACGCCCAGTTGCCCTGATTCTGCAGCAAAATGAACTGGAGTCCAACCTGCCTCAGTTCGCAAAATCAAGCGAGCACCACGTTCCACAAGCAGCTTTACTATCTTTGAGTGGCCTGTTGAAAATGCAAACAGATTAGAGTGATAAGGACAAGGCAAAAGTAGCTACTTCTGTCTTTCCCCTTAAGACAGAAGTAGCTCTTTTTACACCAGCCTCTGGAATCTCTTGTTTTGGGAAACTTTTTTTTTTTAATTTGGAGAATTGGGTTTGTTGTGACTTCTTCAAACTATTAATTGGAGAACTTTTTCACATTCTGCATTGGCTGAAATTTTCCTGAATTACCTGGGTGGATATCATGCACTCCATTTTTTAAAAATGTCTATTCATACAAATACATGGTATAAAGTTACATGTCACTTGGCATTTACCTTGTAACCACAACATATTGGAGATTCATGGTTCACATATTCTAATTTATTTATTTACTTATCTGAATGGTATACAAAGTTAAAAGAACAAAAAAAGCCCAAAACCACAGAACCACCATTATAAAGACCATTTAAAAACATTAAAAAATAATCCGCAGGAAAACACACTCCTTTTCCCTATTAATACAGCTCCTTTGCAGGCACCTCACCCACATCTCAGGAGGGCTGACTTGTATTCCCCCTCTTGAAATCTTTATACTTATTGGTTTCATGAACAACACAATGGAGGTATTATTTACCAATATATCTACGTTATTTTTGGGGTATTTTCTTTTCATGAATTTAAATAGGTGTCTAAAATATGTAGATCCTTAGTAGGGGAACACATGTGAGGCGATAGCATAGTGACATTCCCTATTGGCTGCCTTCCCGCCTTCTGACTCTTGTATAAAAATTCATAGATGTGGTGGATGCCACAGATCAATGCCAGTTCTTTTGTCCCAACAATTCCTTGTAAAGGGCAAGTCGGGCCTTCGCCCCATGCTTGAGTCAGTGTATTTTGCGTTTAAATCATAGTGCTTGTCATTAGAGGTGTTCTCATGTGTTGGCACTGCTTTATGCCCAAAATTGTAATGCTAAGCACTCTATAGCATAGCATATTTTTTTTCAAATCAAATTTAAACTTTAAGACTGAAATCACTTTTGTCATTCACAAACCTTATTTTCAATTATGTCAATATTTTTTATTTTATTTTATTTTAATCTGGATGGCGTAGCATTTTTTTTTCAAATTAAATTTAAACTTTTAAGACCGCAAACATGATTCTGGGTGGCTAATAACAATTTTAAAAAAGCAGATCAAACCAAGAATCTTTTCCCAGCATCCCATGGACACTTCCACTGAGGATTTGGGAGATGGGCAGGAAGGGGGACATGCTTGGAGCAGACTCCAAGCATGTCCCCCTTCCTGCCCATCTCCCAAATCCTCAATGGAAGTGTCCATGGGATGCTGGGAAAAGATTCAGGGTCTCCATCCAGCCACTTCTTCTATGCAGGTTCTGCTGCTGACCATGTCCTCTCATACCAAAATACAGGATTACAGATTCTGCACTTCTCGCTGCCTGGGGAAGCACTTGTAAGGCACACAACAGCACCTCATTTTAACCCCAGGGAGAACTCATGAAAGATCCGTGGTGAAAATGTGAGTGAAAAGGAAGATGCTCCGGGGTTCCTGCTCTCATTCTTCTGCCTCCTGCAACGTTGCATAAAAATCGTCCCCGTCAACTCGTTTCTTTACTGAGGCAGAGCAAAGGAAGGATCGCCTGGCGCGCCCTTTCCGCTTTTATTCTGCTAGGTACCTAAACTGGGATAACCAAAGGCCCCGCCAATAACCCTCCCTGGTAATCAGCCGCAGCACTGATTCCAGAATCTAAAAGGGAGGCAGCCTGTTGCTCCCGACTGTCTCGACCTCTGCTTTTGCCTAACTTTTACCTGCTTTTGATTTCTGTTACACCGTGGGGATATATCTTTGCTAACCGATAGGAGCGGCTTGCGTGCTTGCTCCGATCAGGATGTGGAGAAGGGCTGGGAATATGCCGTCTGCAACCCGAATGCTGTGACTTGCCTCCACGCACACATTACTTCGGGCACAGCGCCTGTCCTCCAATTTCCTCCTGGCGCATGCGCGTCCCCCGGGCGATTGCTTACCTTTTGCTGCCGCCCAGTGGAGGGGCGTGCGGTCGCTCCAGTCCGCATCTTTGCAATTTGGGTCTGCGAGCTCCCTCTGGAGGATTTCTTCCGCTAAGTCGTATTTACCCAAAGCCACCGCTTCGTGCAGCTCCGTCATGCTGCCTTTGGCCAAGTTCTTGAAGTTGAACCCGCAGCTACGAGTTCAGCAAAACCTCAAAAAAACCAGTTTTTGTCCTCAAGAGAGGCGGGTCAGATGTGGCGAATAAATTATTCCGGACCCCTTTCTGCTGCTGCCGCCATCCGCCCCAAACACCCCAAGGGCTGCTAAGGGCAACATAAACAAAGAGAGAGCGCCATTTCCCCCCTCCCTGCCATTAGGACCCAGCTATCTCCCGGGCGACACGAATTGCTACTTGTTTCCTAGAGAAACTGGCTCCTCCTGCGGGGAAGCCTTCGAGATGCCCCCGCGAGCCTTCCATTCACGGCGGTGGGCAGGAGGGCGATTCCGACGGCAGGAATATTATGAAGTGGTGCGTTGTTGTTTTTTCTGGTGGCCAGGCGTTGCTTGAACGAGAGGAAACCCTCTTTGAAGTGCAGCGAAGGAGCAAAGCTGCCCTTCAAGCGGTCAGGTTCGCCTCTGCTGGATAAAGCGGGGGTCGCTTGCAGAAACCGGGGAAAGTTTGGTGGGGAGGGGGGCTAGTTTAGGCACCTGCTGCTTCGGGCACGAGTTCTGCCTCCCCAAACAGCCGCTGATCCTCCCAGGCAACCGCGCAGTGTCTGTCACCACCTCTCTCTCGGGGTTGTTTTTTTTTTTTCTTTGTGCTTCTGGTCCTACAAATGGCGGTGTAGAATCCCCTTTCGAGTTATAATAATGGATCGGCGGGACAATCTTCTCCTTTCTGCCCCTAAATACCGAGCATCGGAACCAGCCTTCTTAGTTGCTTCCTTATCGGGGTGGGTTCTAAATTTTTTTTTACTACCGGTTCTGTGGGCGTGGCTTATTTGGTGGGCGTGGCTTGGTGGTCATGTGGATGTGTGGGTGTAGCTTGGTGGTCATGTGATTGGATGGGTGTGGCCAGCTTGCCGTCACTCATGTCAAGGGTTATGGTTAGGGTGCCTGGCCTCTCCTCGCCTCAGTGGCCTACACGGCCTCAACAAGATACAGTTTCTCTTTCTATTTATTTACTACTACTGAACATCCAAAATATATTATTTAATCCTATGTACATATGCCATATGTGTATATGCATATTACATAGTATAGTGTATAGGCACACAAAAAGATACATTGTTTACTATATATACTGTATGTGTATGTACACACACACACACCTCTTCTAAAACTATACATATTGAACCTCCCTTACAACATTTGGAAAAACACACCCAGAGTCCACTTTCTGCCACACATTTAACTATAACTTCTATACATTTAGAACATTACACACACCTTCAGATGTTCTTCCCTAACTTGTACATCATTGTTAAAGCCAGGAGAGATCATGGATTGAGTAAAATGTGGTGAAACTCACTTAACAACGCTCTTGCTTAACAATCAAAATTTTGGGCTCAATTCTGGTCATAAATCAAGGACTATCTCTGCCTTTCTCTGCATGGCAGCCTTGTCCTAGTAAACTCCATCTCCTTTCTGACAATTTTCCTCTCTTAGAGCACCAAAATAATCCAGGCGATGTAAGGTTTCCTGCTGGAGCAGGGGGTTGGACTAGATGGCCTCTAAGATCCCTTCCAGCCCTAGATTGCTATCCTGTTTCAAAGCGTCTTCTAAAGCCACGTCTAAGTGCCAGGGTTTGTGGTCTTTCTTTCTTTCTTTCTTTCTTTCTTTCTTTCTTTCTTTCTTTCTTTCTTTCTTTCTTTCTTTCTTTCTTTCTTTCCTTCCTTCCTTCCTTCCTTCCTTCCTTCCTTCCTTCCTTCCTTCCTTCCTTCCCCTTTCCTTCCTTCTTTCTTTCTTTCTTGTCTCTCCCTTTCTTTCTTTTTCTTTCTTTCTTTTTGCTCTCTCTCCCTTCCTCTCTTTCTTTCTTTCTTTCTTTTTTCTCTCTCTCCATTCCTCTCTCCTTCTTTCTCTTTCTTTTTTCTTTCTTTGTCTCTCTCTCCCTTCCTTCCTTCCTTCCTTTCTCTTCCTTTCTTTCTTTCTTTTTTCTTTGTCTCTTTTTCTTTCATTCTTTCTTTTCTCTCTCTCTCCCTTCCTTTCCTACTTTCTTTTTCTTTCTTGTCTCTCTCTTCTTCTTTCTTTTTTTCTCTTTCTTTCATTTTCTTTGTCTCTTTTCCTTTCTCTCTCTTTCTTTCTTTCACTTTTTCTCTCCCTCCCTCCCTCCTTCAAAGTCTAGGAGAGTGAGACTGGGACTGGGAGGCCCGAGAGAAAATGCCTGGCCGTGGTGGCGGCAGCAGCAGCAGCACCCAAAACAGGAGCTTCAGGCCGTGGCAGGAGGAAGCCAGTAATTATGAGATTGGTTTTTATGAGAAAAATAAAGGTTATATACTGTATAGGGTTTCCTACCTAAGCTGGTGGTTGGACTAAGAGACCTCCAAGGTACTTTCTATTCTATTCTATTCTATTCTATTCTATTCTATTCTATTCTATTCTATTCTATTCTATTCTATTCTGCCCTAGAAATAACTGTTGGAAAAAGGGAAAGTTGCTTCTAGAATTCTCTTTTTATTCATTTAAAAAACTTGCTTTGTTTTGCTTTTTACTTTTTTTCTTAGAAATTCTTTAGATGCATACATATAATTCTTTTTTGTTTTTGCTTTGCTTGCATGTTTTAACCAATAATATAATAGACAGGTTTTTTTTAAAAAAAAAATTAACAGTTGGAATTTTTTAGATTAAAGCCTTTTCAATAACAAATGATATTTTGAAATGATCTTATTTGTTATTGGAGATGCAGTGAAATTAATACTTTATTTTGTATTTTTGGAAAAAAAAATAGAATCAAAACACTCACTAAGTGAGAAACTACATGGTTATGGATGAAACATGTAACAGTGATACCCATTGTCATTGGGGCACTTGCTAGCATGTCCAAGAATTTTATAAAACATTTTTTTTATTAAAAAAAATCAAGAAATTGCAGCTTCCTGTAATAACACCAGCAGAACTGCAAAAAACTGCGCTACTTGGAACATCGTAAATGTTAAGAAGATACTTGGTTGATACTTAGGATGCTGGCAGCAACCTGTATCAACCATTAGCACCAGTCAATGGTATTTGTGATACATTTTTAAATGTTTGTTGACTGAGTTTCACGTTTAATGAATAAAAGAGATAATAATAATTGGTCATCTATTGGGCTATTGTTAGTCATCTAGTCTTCCCTAATTTGGTGTGGGTTGGGCAGCATTTTTATTGTGAGGTCTCATCACAATGAATAGGTATCACATATGTCCCACAAACTAGCTAATAAACACAAGTTCTAGACTGTTGCATAAACCCACTCTCTGAAATTCAGATTCAGTGTGTTGTAAGTACAGGATGGTGGAGCAGGAGCCACACTGTAATTACTCTGCCAAGCACAGAAATCTGTCCAATTCTTTCCTCTGTACCATCTTTCCTTCTAAATTGTGCATATTTTTCCAGAGATCTCCCTGCTTTCTTCAGTGGCACTAATTTTTCAATGGCATTTTTGTTGTTAGCTAATCTTCTGATTCTACCAAACCTATCAACAGGATTTTGTACTGACACTTTTATCAATATTGAAAAATTGAAAAATAAATAAAACTCTGAGTAGCCTTCATTCAGCCCATCAGTTTGCTTTGCTTTTCCTTTGTGATGAGCTCACAAAGGGGAGGTATATAAAATCTTGGGGTGGGCTGAATGAAAGTTGCTCACTGATGAGTTTTACTCTGTGTGCGCGTTGACTAGTGGTAGCTTAGATCAGATTTTGGCTTTCTTTAACTTTTCAGTACTTGTTTGTTTGTTTGTTTATTTGCTTATTTTTCTTATACTTGTTTACTTAGATTACTTTACACACAATATTTATTTATTCATTTATTTCTTATATTTATTTATATTTATTTCTTATATTTACTTATATTTATTTATTAATTATATTTAATATATTTAGTTTAGGATTAGAATCATTAAATTCAGGGCATTAGGGATGGAGATATTCCTCTATTATGGGGGGAAACTACTCTTTGAGGTAAGAGATCCTTTGTTTTATTTATTTACTTGCCAACTTGTATGTGCAACTCTAGGATTAGTTCAGGATTTGAAATTCTATCTGCTTCTTTGGCAATTTCTTTAGGAAAATTGTTGAAAAAGTGATGAGGCTCAAGACTTGGGCAGAAACAGCACTGGTTGCCCCTGGTGAATGGTTGGGGAAGGGCACCTTTCTTGGTTCTTTTACATTTCTAAGGGCTTCAGTATTATTCACCAAAACATCCTGGACTACTTAGAAGGGTAGGCAGTTGAGAACAACTTGTGGTGATACTGCTACTTTCTGAGTGGGTTATACCAGTTATTGGAAATAAGGGAGGAAAGGAGAAGTCATCCAGTGGCTGCTCACTTCAATACATGAAGCTGCTGAGGGAAGGTCATCCCTCAGTTTTGGATGTAGGATCACTGATATACTGAGGAAAACCAAGTGCATATCCCAGGGATGTGCCATGGATATGGTGAAAGTCCTGACCGAGTGTTTAGGGGCTGTTAGGTTCTAAATCAGGAGTTTCAGACTCGCAGCCCACGAGCTGGATACCCCATGTTGGCCCCATCCCCACCCAGTTAAGCAAAGGGGGGAAAAGTCCTGATACCTCACATGATGCCGCCGTCACGGCATGAGTTTGACACCCCAGCTCTAAATGAAGAAGCTGAGATTTAATCTTATGTTGTCAATTTTATTATACGCAACACTGGAACCAGAACAGTAGATGTAGCAATGTCTTCTTTGATAACTGTATCGGAGGAAAGATGGATAGAAGCTGGCTCAGGCTGTATTATTTAATAATACATAGTATTTTTATATTGCTGGCTCCATAGGAAGTCTTGACAATTTACAAACATCTGCATAACATCCATACAACTAGTAGTCACGAGGTCTAGAATCACTTTACACTAAACTAGAGATGGGAGGATCCTAGCTTCAGACCAAGTTGTCATCAGCACTATCTTGGAGGCTCTGTCAATTGTTTGTACAACAAGGTTTATCTTGGAAGAAGAGTGCCATTAAAACATCACTTTAACAGCAGAGCAACTAAAGGCAGCTTCAGCTGTCCCTGCAGCTGGCTAGAAGTGAAATTCATGATGTCATGAGGATTGTTGCTTAACAATGGTTAATGAGGGTCTTCATGCTATGGTTAGAGGGACATGAGGATGAACTAGCTGAGTTGACTCACTCTAACTTTCTAAATAAGATTAGCATATGGGATCCAATGGAACTTTTGTTTCTGTTAATCTTTTTTCTATAATTGGGAAATTCTACCATATGTATATTTTTAAAAATCCAAATGGCCTTCTGTGTCCAAAATCCTTTCTTTCAAAATTGAGTTGACTTGCTTTGACCATAACAGCAAAATACCATCTGAAGAAAAGCCTTGAAAGTGTAGTTTCCCAGAATTATTATATTTCTCAGTTTAAAAAAAAAATCTGAAAGAAGACATTTGCCCATCATTGATTTGTGCTGCCACAAAATTTAATGAAAGCATGAATATAGTCAGTAGGGGGTCTCATTCTCTCTCTCCCCCTCCCCATCTCCACTAACTAGGACAGTGTATCTCAACCTTGACCTCTTGAAGATGTCTGGATTTCAACTCCCAGAATTTTCTCACCAGCATGAATTCTGGGAGTTGAAGTCTACACATCTTCAGGTGGCCAAGGTTGAGAAATACTGAGCTAGTGATGCTAAATTTTGCCTTAATTATGAGATAGGTTTTTATAAGAAAAAGATTATGAGGCAATGCTTGGTTTTCTGCCCTAGAAATGTTGCACAATCTTATTGGGCAGAACAGAGTTTGCTTTTATGCATCTATATTATTGACCATCTTAGACCAAGCCAAGTCCAAAAACAGGAGAGAATTCCTGGAAGCCTAGCATTCTGACAAACTGGCCCTCAAGAGATACATAGACATAAACAATAACTACATACTATTCAAGAGACAGTCAACAAGACAAAAAAGGAACAAAAAGATTAAAATACTTCCCCACCAAAACAACACTTAGATGAGCATAGACTAACACTGAGATTAAAATCCTACCAACAATCAAGAAGTAAACAATACCCCAATCAAGGAAGTACCACACAAGCTAATGCAAATAGCGCAACAAAAAAATCTCCAAGACTACTCCCTCCAACAGTGACAGGGCAAGCTACCAGAAAATAAATTGAGAGCAAACCCCACTCCTTCCTAGCACTGATGATGTTACCTAGTTCGGGAAATGAAACAGCTGCAAGAAAGGAACCAGCCTCAGAAAAAACCAAGGATCCCTCATTTCTCATTATTGTCCTTTCTGCTCAAGCATGTTTCTGATGTGACTTTCAGCAGCAGTGTGGATGTTCATAAAGAATTAGGATTGGGAGTGTACTTAGAGTGATGCAAGGCCAAGCGTCTCATGACACATCTTTGGAAAACTGGGCTGCCTGAGCACATTTTGTATTGCCTCAGAAGTACAGGCCAGAGGCAGGAGGTGCGCTACGTCTCCTTGTTCAGTTATACAGAAATAGCCCCCTATGTTCACCTTATTTTTGTTCAACATAAATAAGGAATCATGTTGATTTTGACTTCAGGAAAGATGGCAAGCAAGTAAGCAAAGATGATTTGTATTATTCGTCAAGCATGTATTTTAAGATGGATACAAGTGTAAACATAATTATAAATACATGAAATGGACACGAATAAAAGAAAGCATTAGGACAGGGACAGTAGGCATACTGGTGCACTTATGCATGCCCCAAAGACCAGTCAAGTGAAGCAGTGGGAGTGGAGAAAGAACAAAGAAACCTAATCCCCGGACATTGATTCTATAACATGTGGGCCTCACCATTTTCACTTGATGCAGCATGGCAAATTGAAAACAAATTCTAGGAGTACTTCTTGCAGTACTATTCTTGCAGTACTATTTGTAGAGAGTTAGAAACAATATACTTTAAAAAATGGGTTCAATCTGCCAAATTGTACAGCCTATGGAAATTGCTGTTTTTTCTCTCACACTGACTTCAATAGAGAAATACTCCCCCAGAAATGAATAAAGAAATAAATAAAATCCCAAGAAAATTCAGTTTAGCTCCTATCTTATTAACCTGATTTAACTTAACAGAAAACAATCTATTATGTTCTACTAGCTGCAGAGGCAGAGCACATAAAAATGAACCCTTTTCATTAATCCAAGCAGTTTTTGTTGACCTGTGAGATACACACACACACACACCCATATACCCATACCCATATACCCATACATACATATTCATATATATATATACACAAACACACCAGTGGTCTGAACCGGTTTGTTACCAGTTTGGTGGCCATGCATGTGCACTGTGCACCAAATACACCCTGTGTGTGCATGCACAGTGGAACCAAATACACACTCTGCACATGCATGCATGCACAGTGTGACCAAACATACGCTCTGCATGCGCACGCATGCACAGTGCAACCAAACACATGCTCTTCACGTGCACACATGCGCAGTACGACCAAATGCACGCTCTGCACATGCATGCATGCGCAGTGTGACCAAATATACGCTCTGCATGCACACGCATGCATAATGCAACCAAACACATGCTCTTCACGTGCACACATGCGCAGTGCGACAATGCACGCTCTGCACACACATACATGTGCAGTACGCGCCAAAAGGAGGCTTGGGAAGGTAAGTAGAAGTGAGGGGGGGATCAGCTGTGGCGCGCGATTTAGCTTCGCTAGAAAGCAGGATTTCCTGCTTTCTAGCAAAGCTAAACCCTGCTGCACAGCTGATCATCGGAAATACCAGTTCGGAGAAACCAATAGCATTTTTTAACTACTGGTTCGCGTGGACCGGTAGCTTTTTTTTACTACAGGTTCACCTGAACCAGTAGTTTTTATCACTACCGGTTTGCCTGAACCGGTGCGAACCGGAAACATTTCACCCCTGAAAAAAAAAACCACACACACACACACACACACACACATTTAGAGCTACAGGATTCCTTACAAATTTTTAAAAGTAGAGGGAAGGTCAACAAAATAATTATTCTCAGCAGCTTCATCTGTATTCAGCCTGTTTAAGGATTGCTGCTAAAAATCTAAATCTACCATATTTTGTCCCATCTACAAGTATTAACATTTTCCTTAGAGGAGGCATATATAAATTCCACTAAAAACATGAGGATGCCACAATGTAAAACTGACAATAGATTGATGTAGTTACTTTGCTTTTTAAAAGGTGGCTTTATGGTCCAAGCATTTTATTTTTTTTATTTTATTTTATTTTATTTTATTTTATTTTATTTTATTTTATTTTATTTTATTTTATTATTTTATTTTATTTTATTTTATTTATTTTATTTTATTTTATTTTATTTTATTTTATTTTATTTTATTTATATACCGCCCTTCTCCCAAAGGGACTCAGGGTGGTGTACAGCCAGCATAAAACACACAAATATAAAATTTAAAAACAATTTAAAAATATTAAATAGTTTAGCCCATATCTAATTAAAATAAATTTTACCCAATTTAGACATTTAAAATTAAGAATTAACAATTAAAAAATTAAAATTAGGCAGCCCGGCTTGTTGAAATAAAAGCATCTTGAGGGCCTGGCGGAAGGTGCGTAAGTCGGGAATCCTCCACATCTCGGGGGGCAATTCGTTCCAGAGGGCAGGAGCCCCCACAGAGAAGGCTCTCCCACTGGGGGTCACCAGCCGACATTGCTTGGCTGACGGCACCCGGAGGAGCCCCTCTCTGTGGAAGCGAATTGGCCGGTGGGAGGCTGTTGGTAGCAGCAGGTGGTCTTGTAAGTACCTAGGTCCTAAGCCATGGAGCGCTCTGAAGGTGGCAACCAATACCTTGAATCGTACCCAGAGGACCACCGGGAGCCAGTGCAGCTCGCGCCATGACGCTCCCATAACCACCTGCGCGGCCGCATTCTGGACCAGTTGGAGCCTCCGGGTGCTCCTCAAGGGGAGCCCCACGTAGAGAGCATTACAATAGTCCAGGTGGGACTTTTGCCAGAACTACTGCAAAGTGTTTTAGAAAAAATTGCTAGAGCACAGCCAAAGGACATTGCAACTAGATAAGACTCCAGCCAGTATGATTGTATCCAGACTATGGTTTATAATACTTAGTAAATTCGCCTCCTCCAGTTGGCTTGTCCTCAGGTGTTGACAATGTCTTCTTTTGGCAGGTGTGTCTGAATAAATATAAACAATACCAAAGAGACCAAAGTAAGTAACCAACTATTTTGTTTCTGTGAAAACCTGTAGCAGGAGTGGGGATACAAAGACAGTCCTCCCTCTGCCTCACACCTGACCCTTCCTATTTAATGGCCAGCCTTAACTTTCAGTGTTGTTGGTGGGTTAATATGTAATGTCTTTTGTGAATATTGTTTAATAGCACAAGTCTTTTCCCATAAAAATACAGAAATAAAACGCATAGAAGAACTTGCGTTGCTGCAAGGAAGAGAGCTGGCTGAAAAAAACGTCACAATAAGAGCTGTAAGTCATTCATTTCCCTTAAAATGTTGTTTTTGTCCACGTATTTATATTATATGACTGATGTTTGCTTCTTGTAATTTCTGCATTTTAGTTGGAAGAGGAGAACAGCCATTTAGCCAGCAAAGTGGCTGTTCTTTTAAGGGAGAATGAGGAGCTGGAGAAGAAAATAAAAGACAATCCAGAAAGTGAGTATCATTTAAATTTAATATTTTAATTGTTTTCATTCTAAAAAGAAAAGTGATTTATTTCATTTTAAGTTTGACTGTATTAGTTCTAGTTCTTTTGTTATTTTTTTGCCAGGAGATGCTGACAGAGATATGTATAAGGAGTATGAGGTGCTAAAGGACAAATACGAGATGTACCAGAAAGTCATCAGAAGAGCAAAGACTGTAAGTATCGTACATGATAGTAAGAAATTAGAACAACCTTGTTAATCAAGATTTCATCATGCATTCACTTCCGGCTTGCTTCTCGTCGCTGTCAGACGGTCCCTCGGGACCACCAGCCCCATCGCCTGTAAAGAGCCGCCTTTACAACGGAAAGGCGGCTCGAAAAACTCCATTTCCAGGAGGAAATGTGAGATAGAGCAGGTGAGTGTAGGTAGAGCTTTCCGCGAAGCCCCCAGAGTTTTTTTTTTACTCTTGGGGGTGAGCGGATGAGGCTCCCTATATCACTCGCCGTTCGCTCCGGGCGTTGGGAGACCTCTGCTTAATGCAGAGCAAGGCGACGAAAACAAGCTTTTCAAGAAAACTAACAGACTAAGTAAAGAGGATGAGATTTGGACCTGGACCTGTGACCCTAAATCGCAAGTATTTATACTTATTTTGCAAAGGATATTGAACAAAGTAAAAAAGAACTTTTAAAATGACGACTGCCGAAGTTTGAGCAGGGAAGCTGAAAAGGGAAAGTCCTTCCGTTTCTTATTAAACCACAAAGTAGCGGAATAAATACTCCTGGCTACAATTGAAGAAAAAGCTCCACTTTTGTGTTTTCTCTTTCCTGGAGATTTGATATTGATCTTGTTTGGAAAGAAGCTTTTTTCTCTTTCTTTGTTTTTTTTTCTTTTTTTCTTTTTTAAGAGCGTTTGTCGGTGTGGAAATATGGCGTTCAGACTTACAAAGCCAGACAAACAAGCAGTGGGGGGGGATTCCCCCATCTATAAACTACATGAACAAGTTCTAAACCTACAGACTCTGATTTTACAGAGTTTTCTACAGAAAACTGATTTTAATATAATTGAATTTCTCTTGGAGGAGATTGTAAGAAGATGAGATTGTGAATCAGAACTTTGAAAAATTTAAGCAGGAAATTAAAGAAATGGTGCAATTAAAGTTTGATATTTTGCAACGAAAGATTGCAAAAGTGACTAATGGTTTTTCAGAAATTGTTATGAAGTTGGGTACAAATATTGACTTATTAGAGTCTAAAATGGAGGAAATTGAGGATAATTTGGACAATAAAATACAAAGAACTGAAAATGATTTGATAAACACTCAAGATAATAGCTTAGAAGAAAAACTTAAAATGGAAGCTGATCATAAGACTTGTAATGCAGAAAATACAAAACAACGGATTGAAAAAGAAGTTTTAATGATGCAATATAATCTCACAGAATATGCGATTAGACTGAGAGGATTACAGGAAAACAACAGAGATGACTTAAGGAAAATATCTTCTGAAATTCTGGCTGGGATCTTAAAGGTTCATCCTGAGGAAGTATTTTGTAGGATTGACAGAGTTTATAGAATAAACTCCTGGATTGCAAAGCAAAGGCAATTGCCAAGAGATGTGGTGATTTATTTTACAGACAAAGAAATAAGAAATAATATCGTGCAAAAATCTTTTAATTCTACTCTGCATTTGTTTGGAAGAAAGATTTGGATATACAAAGAGCTACCACCTAAGATGTTATTGGAAAGAAAGAAATTTGGTTTTCTGGTGACTGAGCTTAAAAAGCGAAATATTCTATTTAGGTGGGATACTCCAGTTGGTATAATATTGAGATATCAAGGAGTAAGATATCAATTAAATACTGTTGAAAAAGCGGAAGAATTTTACCAAAAATTTTTGAAAATGAGTTCAACATTTTTATGCATAACACAAGATAAGCAGAAGGAGTTGGAAATAAAGGAAAAATATCGAGCTATAGAGGCCTCTGTAGATGAATCGCCTTTGGATTCTTTAGATACCTCAGCTGGATTATCCATAAATAAAAGAGATGTGGCATTGGATTCTAATGTGATGATTCATCAAGTCACAGACAAGCATGGAAATCAATTAGTTGATACACAACTTATAGAAAAGAAATATGAGTCACAAAAGCAAAACCAACAAGATCAAGCTATAAATCAGAATGAAAACCGATTAGTCGATATACAACTCGTAGAAAGGAGATTAGGATGGAGATCAAACCCACAACAAGTCAAGAAAAAAAGAAATAGATCTCGCAAAAATAAAAATTTCTAAATTAGGCAACAGTGAAGCCAGTTATTTAAAAGATGACTGAATACATGAAAAGATAGTTGAGGCGAAGTATTGGTCAATATTATCCTGAGGAGAGTGACAGACCTCTGCAATGCTGTAATTTTGGGATGTGAAAAGGGCCTTAAATTGTTGGATTGGAATTATCCATTTTGGACTTTTTTTTTTTGGTAAATATATCATGCTTATCCTGAGCTATATGGCAAGAGAGCTATGCTGGGGCATGCAGAAGATCTGGTTGTTACCCCATTATGATGGTGTGAATTAATAATCTTGAAGAAATCCACTATTACAGATATTATATGGAATACAATTATAATGTCACTCGGGTGGTTGTTTTCCTTTTTTATATACATGAAGATATTTATTATTGATGGGGGCAGATGATAACTGAGGATTTTGAACATTCTGTTGCAATCAGGATGCTATGTTACCCTAATATGGGCGATGGAGTTAACAATCCAGTGGAGAGACATCAAAGAAGATATTATATTATATGGATTATAAGTTTAAAGTCATTGATTTTATCTATAAAAGGGATTATTTTTTTTTTAGTAGGGTGGGCAGAAGAATAAAGATATTAAGAATTGTTATGTATGGTAATTTTGTAGGAAAGTGGGTGGAGACAGGTTAGTTTATTGATTGTTTAGTTTAAGAAAAGGGATGCTTAAGAGATACATTTATGGGAGTGGAGGAAATGGATAGAGCTGAATAAATGTTAAATCAGGATTTATTATATAGCTTTTTAAGGGAAGGCTGCTTTGAAATGTTATATTAATATACATTAAAGATTAAATGGTAAAATAGGATTTATTATATAGTCTTAAAGTGGAAGGTTGTTTTGAAATGTTATATTAATATATAGATATATGTATGGGGGAGGAGAAAAAGGGCAGATTTTTGCTAAATTGGGAGTTATAATAATGTTATTATGTTAAACCAGAAGTTATTACACAATGTTACAGTAGAATGTTATTTTGAAATGTATGGTAAAAGGGGGATGTAATAATATTATTAGAAAGAAAGGGTCAGTATTTGAGGAATGGAGTAAGGGGATGGTAAAATATATAATCTGTTACGAATTTGGATTTTATTTTGAAGAAGTCACAGGGGGATGGGTGGTGAGGGGGGGTTAGGGAGGAGGGGGGAGAAAAAAGGGGGAAAAATTTGTATTTGAAAAACTTTTTCAATAAAAAAAAAGATTTCATCATGCATTAAAAGTTAATTTTAATGATTCAAAATCCCTTTTTAAAAAATTTGATAGATTTGTGGAATAAATGGAGATATTGGCTAAATGCCAGGAATTTCCATTTCCACCACCAGTGTTAAAGAACACTGGTGGTGGAAATGGAGAAATTCACTAAGATTGAATTGAAAGAATGGATTAGTAAACCAAAAGAAAATCAAATATATAAATTGGAAGACTGGAAGAACAAGATAAAGAATGTAACACAACTAAAGAATGTTTTAGCAGATATTAAATTATATTGGTTGTATTTAATACAATTAGAGAAATGAATAAAAGTGGAAGAAAGATTTGAGGAGAAAGATAGATAGTTAACAAAATTTGAAATGATTATAAAAGAATCTGAGGTGAATGAAGAATATATAGGTTAAGGAAAAATTTGGGAAATATATAGAATATTAACTGAATTAGAAGAGCAGCCAAAAGGTTTATAATTAATTTGGAAATCAGATTTAGGATAAATAAATGATAATGATTGGAAAAAATATTTGGAATAGAAGAGTATATAAGAATATGTCAATTAGAGTTAAGGAAAATGGATATACAGTACAGTATATGGAGGTGGTACCTAACACCCCATAAATTAAATCAAATAGATGGTAAATATACAAATATTTGTTGGCGGTGCAAGAAAGAGGTTGGAACATATAAACATATGTGGTGGGATTGTGATAGTGCACAAAAAATACGGGGCATGGTTTTTAGAGAAATTAGAGCACTTCTGAATGTAAATTTAGATACATCATTGAGAATTGCATTACTGTTGCAAAAACAGGATATAAATGAAACAAAAAAGGAATTGATTGTAAATTTGATAATGGCAGCTAGATTAGTGATGGCTAAATATTGGGGACGAAATTGGGATATTCAAAGAAATGAGTGGTATAATGAAACTTGGAATGTGGCAACAAATGATAAATTAACAACAGAAATTAAATTTTAAAAAGGGATGATCAAAGCAAACAATTATAATGAAATATGCAGGGATTTTATAAAATCAGCGTTGGTGGAAAGCAAAGGGAATAAACGTACTCAAAAATATATGTTGTTTTGGAGGAGATAAGGGCACAGTTAGAATATATTGTATATCTTTTAGTTGTTATAGAAGAAAAAATAAAAGGGAAAAAATGGTCGCTGGGATGGGGGTGGACTGTAAAATTCATATTTTTCCCCCTTTTTTGTATTTAGGTATGTATTATGTTTGCATTGTTTGTATTGGTATTTAAAATTTTTTTTTAAAAAAAAAAGTTAATTTTGATTGTACTTCACCAATTTCTTTTTACAGGAGGTCTCAAAAGAAAGGGAAAAAACCAGAGAACTGGTAAGGGCTCGGGATCAGGCAATTGATGACGTCTGCTCTGAAATTGTATCCCTACCAGTCCGGGGAAGACCAAGACGGTAAGATTTGTCCTTCCGTTTCTTGGAGAGAAATACACGTGTTTCAGTTGATGATTCTCTACTTTGTTCTAAAATATTTGTTTAACATTTTTCAGTCTCTGCCAGAGAAGTGTCCACAGAAACACCTGATTGCGTTCAAAAGGTAAATGATACCGTTTTTAAGACATTACATATTTTTATTCTGTAGAAAAGTTGTTATGCAACATTTGGTAATAAAAATAAATCAATTTTGCAACAGTGTTTATTCTTTTACAGAATCTAGGCGTCAAGCTGTCAGCACCGGCCCCTCCAGCAACTGAATCAGAGGAGGAGGTGGCGTGGGATTCAGGGTCAGCAGCAATGCCCCTGGTCAGTCGATGCCCCAAGGCCCTGAAACAGGGTGGCGGACTTTGACAGAGTATGTTAGTGAGTTCCATCTTTGTACAAACGCCATGTGCCAAGTAAATAACTAAATAATAAACCTGCTTATGAACATCTTTCAAATTGCTAACTGGTTTGGTCGCTGATGTAGTCCAACACTGTCTAATGAAAAACAAGCTCTTTCCATCTGAGCAGAAAGAACATTGCCCTATACAGAGGAACAAAAGTTCAACTCCTGATTGACAAAATAATTTATGGAAACTGCAAGAAAAGCAAGACCAACTTGAATGTACCATGGATTGATTACAAGAAGGTGTTTGACTCCATTCAACCTGATTGGATAATCAAGTGCCTAGAAATATCATGGGTCAACAGAAACAGCAAAAGCTTTGTCAAAGATCAATGTCACAATGGAAGACACAGCTGCTGGTCAATGGTGATAACAGACTGGGAGAGGTTAATATCAAGACTCTTCCAAGAAGACTCCGTATCACCACTATCATTTGTCATTGCACTAATGTCTCTGTCAACAATGCTGAATAACTCAGGCTACAGCTATCAAACATCAAAAACATCTGCAAGAGTATTCCACCTCCTTTACATGAATGATCCAAAGTGGTATGGAAAAGCACCAACTGAAATAGAATTGCTGCTCAACAGTGTTGAGCCAAGGTATCACAGTGGAGTTTGGACTGGACAAATGTGCCACTGTCACCATCAAATGAGGAAAAATAGTGAAACTGAAGGAATCAAGATGCTCTACGGAAATAACATGAAGAGTTTAGATGAGGACAATCACTAGAAATACCTGGGCTGACAACATCAAGCATACTCAAGAAAAAGGTTAGAAATGAACATATCAAGAGATTGAAGAAGATCTTAAAGTCCAAACTGGTTGGAGGAAGTACCTTCAAGGCAATTAATACCTGGGCAATTCCAGGCATTGAATACACAGAGGAAATAGTGAATTGGACTCAAACAGAACTAAAGGCCATCAATAGGAAGATCAGAAACATAATAACAATGTATCATGCCCTTCATCATTGCAGCAATGCTGACGAACTCTACATGCCCAGCAAAAAAGATAGGCCTGGAATGTTGTAAGTACATCAGATTGTTGAAGGAAAAAAAAAAGGGCATTGTAAGAATATCTGAAGGGAAGGGAAGAAGATGCACTGAAGCTAGTGTATCAGGAAGACCTACTGAGTACTGGAGAGACCAAACAGGCCTGCAAGAAAGACCAAATGAAGAACAGAAATGAGACATGGGAAGACAAAGTATTACGTTGTTAGCATGTTAAAAAAAAATAGGCAGAGCTGATAATACTGGTAATGGCTAAGAGCAGGAAAGTTGAAGAAAGAGACCAAAGGGCTAATTCTGGCTGCACAAGACCAAGCCTTAAGAACAAATGCACACAAGGCCAGAATTGAGAAACTGGGAACAGATAACAAGTGCTGCCTTTGCAAAGAAGCTGAAGAAAGAACCACCTGATTAACTCCTACAAGTAGATCACATTGCAAGATCTGCAAAAAAAAAAAAAAAACCCATTTGCCTGCAAGTAAGAACTGTTGGGACCATGAAATAAAGGCACAGGAAATGAAGAAGCTAAAGGGTTCTAGGACTTCAGAATTCAAACAGACAGGTAGCTGCCATATAACAAGCCAATTGTCAATAAGAAATAGAAAACAGTCTTGGAGAGTGGATATGGCAATACCTGGGGACAGTGAAATAGAAGAGAAAGACTGGAGAAGATAACAAAATACAAAAACCCACAAGTAGAAATAAAACAATCCCCATTGATTAATTGCAAAACGCATATTTACTCACAACAGGTTACCTCCAGGGACAATATCTCTAAAACCATTAGACATTAACGTCTGCCTATCCTAGGTTCTTGGGAAGGACTCAACATGAATAAAAATACCAAATCCATGTCTGAACATCTGGCTGACTGTGCAATGAACCATTATAATAACTAACTGCAAAACCCCATGCTTTCTCCCCTTTACAAGGATCCCACATGTAAGGAGGCTGCCTTAAGTATCCTTAGCAGAACTGGTGTGAAAGGAAGAATATTTTTCTCCTTCCAGCCAGCAGTAGATTCCCCAACCTCATCTGTTGTATAAAATCTGTTAGGCTTTGTCATCCATCTGTGTATGGAGGGAATTTAGATAACCACCAAGATTGGGAATAGCATCAGGACTGGGATTAGCAATCGAGACAGGTATGGTGTATCTTTCTGCCAGCTCTAGGATTGGGGGAGTGAGTGAATGAGTGGGTGGGTGCATTAACAGCAGCGGTGGAGAAAGGTTCCAGTGCAACCCCTGGCTGTGATGTGCTCAGAAAATTCCACTAGATGGAGGCAATCCCTTGCATTGCTGAATTTCAAGCATGAGAGAGGATGTCAGCTGTTTTGGAAGTGTTTGTACAAACAGCAAAAATTAATAAAATAGGAGAAACATGATGTAACTGAAAGCAAGTCTTGGCAAATGCTTTGAGACAGTAGGGGAAATCTTATTTTCTGAGTGAAGATAAAGCAGTGGCTATAAATCACATTCCACAATGTCATGTAATTAAGCATGTACCTAAGTGCTCAATTGCAGGGTGTCATGCTGCATACCACGGTGAGGAAATGCAAATCTATGTAAGACTATACTATAGTAATGTCTTACATAAACATGACATGACATGACATGACATATATAAACATGACAAAACAAACCAACAAATACAAAATTATGTATATACCCACATATATTATATGACACAGAGAAACAATAGAGTCTAGTTCAGATGTATACATGTACATGGTGAGAGAAACCAATCTTGCAAGTTTACCAGATGGATGGCAGGTAAACAAAGCTGTTGCAGAATCTTGTAGTCCTGCTAGAAATACTCCAAAACCTCCCCTCAGAGCAGAGCAATAGAAACAGACTATAAAGTCTTGTATTGGCCTTCTGTGTTTAGAATCCTTTCTTTCAAAATTGAGTTGATTTGCAAAAGATCAACCAAAGAAAAGCCTTAGAAGTCTAATTTCCCAGAATGCATTTTTCTTTTTCAAAAAAAATCTAAAAGAAGACATTGACCAACCATTATTTGTGCTGCCACAAAAATTAATTAAAGCATACATGTAATCACTAGGGGCTCTCCCTCTCCCTCCCTCCCTCCCTCCCTCCCTCCCTCTCTCCCCCCTCTCTCTCCCTCTCTTTTGTATACAGTTAGTTCAGTTAGTATATTAGTTCAGTTTTTCTCAACTTTGACAACTTAAAGATGTGTGGATTTCAACTCCCAGAATTCTCTTGCCAGCATAAATTCTGGGAGTTGACGTCTACATATCTTCAGGCAGTCCTGGTATGCTTCACGGTTTCGAGTTCACTGCCTGTACTTTCTTAACCCAACACAAACATTTTAGTTTTAAGGGTCAGAACTTTCTTCGTAGTGACTTAAAAATGCATTGGGGGAGATGGGAACAGGGAGGAAAATCATGGATATTCTCAAAGCAACTCACTTGAATTTATTTGTGGGGTATCATCTCTCAGCTTACCAGCAGCAGCATTTATGGTGATTTATTTAACACACTGGTGCATTTCTAGAACTGAAGTACAAATTTCTTCATTCTGAATCCCCAGGAAAGAGAGAAAAAGCAAAATATTTTGCCAAGGACGTTTTAGTGAATTTTTGGCCTTACCCTTTCAATATTAGGCTGTAAAATCTACAGTGAGAATGTCCTGGAATTTGCCCAAATTTAAGTTCATTGAATAAATAATACTATTGAACCATTTCATCCTCTGCTGTCCCCTTCTCCTTTTGCCTTCTATATTTCCCAACATCAGAGTCTTTTCCAATGAGTCCTCTCTTCTCACTTGATGGTCAAAATAGCTGAGATTTAGCTTTCCTTTGATCTGTCTTTCCAAAAACAATCAGGGTTGATTTCCTTAGGATTGATTGATTTGATCTCCTAGCAGTCCAAGGGAGTGCTAAGAGTCTTCTCCAACACTGCAATTTGAAAGAATCAATTCTTCAGTGCTTGGCAAGGATGCTGTGAGAGGGTTATCATTTCCTTCTCTAGTGGACCACATTTTGTCAGAACTGTCCACTATGACCTGTCCATCTTGGATAGCCCTGCACATCTTAACTCATATCTACTATGGGCTGTGAAGCCCCTTTGCCATGATAAAGCAGTAATCCATGAAGGGGTATAACTTTTAATGGATTATAAAATATATATTACATACTTATTAACTGGCTTAGATTAATTAAAGTTAGAGTGAAGTACATCCTTTAACATACCCCTCAAATACTAAGTCTGACCCTGAACTACAGTAAAAAAAACAACAACCTTCCTTTTTATGACCCTGTAATCCCTTAATATGAGGTGGAGACGAGCAACTGCATGGAGCTGAGCGTTTACAAGCCAGATGCTCTTCCTGATGCCATGTACAGTTCGCAGCAGATTTTTTTTCTTTGTGTCCTAGGAGAGAAACACCTGCCGCTACCTAGAATTGTACTCTCAACCTTCTAAGTGGGAGGTGACTGTCTTCACCACTAGGCCACCATGCCGCTCTGGATACCCTGATATACAGTATTACTATGAAAATGTAGAATCTGTCATTGTCAGGCAAAAATTCTCATCCCATATTTGATATGGGCATTATTTCATTAATTCCCCAGAGGTGTATCTTCCTTTTACTTGAAAACTCTCCGTCTATCATCAAACATATATTCACTGTATTTTTTTTTTATTTAGCGATCTGCAAAAACAGCTAGATTCCCAAATAAAACCTACTTTTCATCAAATATAAATCTATACTGTCTTCTGATATGTTATAAATAATTTTCACTATTGGATATTTCAACTGTTTGCTGTTTGCAGGTTTATATGATGTGATTAAGATGTTGGATTTGTCAGCCAAAAGGTAGGAGTTTGAGATCCAAGTGGCACATGATGGAGTGAGCTTCCGATACTTGCCCAGCTCCTGCCACCTAGTTTGAAAGCATGCAAATGTGAGTAGATAAACAGGTACCACTTTGGTAAGAAGATAACAGCATTCCATGTGCCTCAGAATATAGTCATGCTGGTGACATGACCATGGAAATATCTTCAGACAACACTGGCTCCCTCGGCTAAGAAACAGAGATGAGCACTGCCTCCTAGAGTCAGACATGACTGGACTTTACATTTTTTATGACTTAAAAAGTCATTTTTTTTGACAAATACAGCATGTGGACTATGCCACAGTTATAAACAAAATTTGAAGAATTACAGACTGGGATACAAAAGATATTCAGATTAACTCATGAAACAGTGCATTTTATTATTATTATTTTATTTTCCACTTCTGTTTTCAAGGGAACAGGGACGGTAAGCGTGAATCCATAGGCCAACTGTCAGAAATTGTTTGGGATAGCTGATGGAAGCAGATGAGACGGACATTTGTTTGTCAAGAATTCCAAGGATTTATAAAACACTACCTGGATCGTGAATAACTGCAGATATGACCAGAAGGGGAGAAAAAGAAAAAGCTTTCAATTATAATTGTCAGCAAGAAGCAGAAAGATAAATTACATGATCTTTGGACTTGAGAAATAAACTGATAAAAGTTTTTCTGCCCAGTAAGCAGAGTTCTCATGTAAAAATAGAAGTTCAATCATGCAACTGAACCCAGGGAGCTACAGGATTACCTTAATCTATATTTTATCTTACAATGAAGCCCAAATAGAGCTCAGGTTTTTTCTGCATGCGTCCACATAAAACAACTACCGGTAAGTTTAAATGTGTGTGGTCATCACATAAGCATATATAAGTATACCTTATATAGTTCCTGTATGCATCTCACTTGACCATGGCAACTATGACATTTCATCCACGCTGCCTGTTGTTTGTTGTTGATTTAACAGTCAGACTGGCAAGTTATCCTGACTAAGTTTCTTCTCCTCTCACCCTAGCATTTCCTTTGCTCTTTGATTTTGCATTGAGGATTCCACACATTGTGCTGAGCACTGTTTGAGCTTATCTTTAGCAAGAACACTGTTCTTTGTGAGATTCCCTTCGCCCCTCCTATTAGTTATATCAAAAATTTATGCAATTCATCCTTCCCCTATTCTGCCTCTTGCTCCGATTTGCTCCTTCTCATCTGATCACATCAAACCTAAAAATGGCAACAGTGTTCTTATCTACTTTTTCTGCTTAAAACACCTGCCAAACCACCTTCATATCCTTTGTGTCCATGATTCTTCTGTCATTTTTTCCCCTTATCACTCTGATCCCACAGTCCCTTCTTTGATTTCTATCTGGGCTTCCTGTCTCCTCCTGAGTCCAATTCCGACATTCCATGGGGCTGGTCTCCTATTCCCTCGACTGTCCTGTCCTGATATGTGCCTGGCCTTGGTGTTGCTGCTACAGCTCTGCTATCACATGTAGTCCAAAAACCTGTTTCTTCTGTCTGGCAAATGTGGCCTTAGCTACCTTCCCTAACTGGGCGAGGACCTTTAAAATGAATCAATTATTGTCCACCTTAAAAAGCAAACCACACATATTTAAAAAGTGTGCGGCAGGAGTGAAATCCAGCAGATTCTGACAGGTTCTGGAGAACCAGTAGCAGAAATTTTGAGCAGTTCGGAGAACCAGCAAATACCACCTCTGGCTGACCCCAGAGTGGGGTGGGAATGGAGATTTTGCAATATCTTCCCCCAGGGGTAGGGAGGGAATGGAGAGTTTGCAGTATCCTTCCCCTGCCACGCCCACCAAGCCATACCACACCCACCAAGCCACGCCCACAGAACCGGTAGTAAAAAAAAATGGATTTCACCACTGGTGTGCAGCCTTTTCAAACAACATCTCAATAAAAGCTACTTCTTAAATGAGTTTGGGAAAAGTAGGCAAACAAATGACTATTCAAACTCAGGTGAAGCGACACTGCTTTAAATATTTTAAATCTTTCTGTGTAGAACTATATTTTTCAAAGACTTCAATACAATAAAATAAATAATATTTTGAACCTACTTTCAAAATTTGCCAAAATGATGAGATTGCCATTTTTAAGAAAATTTCTCCGACGCAATTCACTGTGTGGCAAGATGTAACGCCATCCCCATCTTTGACCTACGTGGATATTATAGAAAGGATCAGCAGCTCCAGTAATGTCAGCCTTATCCCAAAAAGGTTTCCCATCTGTCAAGCAAAATAAACAACCATAAATAAACTGAAATGGATCAATATTTTAAATATACAACGTCCAATGTTTTTAGTAGGCTATGTAAGATTCAAATAACCAGGCACAACATTCCATCCAACATTTTTTAATGGAGATGCTTAAATTCTATTTGGAATTTAAGATAATTTTGATTCAGTGGAATGGGAGCGTTGTCCTCCCTACATTGTTTTATAAAGTCTGTGTTAATAAACGTTCTCATTCTCCAGAGTAATTCTTGAAAAAAATGATCCTGGTCTAGTTACCATAACTTCCATTATATGTTATGCTGGGGATTAACTGTAAAGCCCTACATGGCTTGGGAGCAGGGTACCTGAGAGATCCTCTTTTTACAAGAGTTTCTACCTGTCCAATTAGATTAAATATAATGGGCATGCTGCAGATCCTGTCAGCCAAAGATTGTCAGCTGATGGGAGCTAGAAAAAGAGCTTTTTCTGCAGCAGCCCCTGTTCTGTGGAACATTCTCCCTGCAGAGATTAGAATGGCTCCTACCCTGTTAACCTACTTTAAAGCTTTAAAGACCTGGCTATGCTCCTCAGCCTGCAGCACTACATGCGACAAAGGCCCTGCTTCCTGGCTTTATTTTTAAGAAGCCAGATGTCTGGTTTTGTACATACTCAAATTAGATGTTTTAATGTTTTTTTTAGTATTTAAATGTCTATGGAGATTCTCAGTCATCCAGGTCATGGTTGTTTTTTAAACACTTTTAATTGTTTGTTTTTATTGTTTTAAAATGTTTTTAAGATTTTAATTGTAATTATGTTTTTGAATTGCAAACCACCCAGACTTGTTTGCTGAGATGGATGGCTATAGAAATTGAACAAACAAACAAACAAACAAGCTGGATTTACATGTTACAGTGTTTGACTACGTCTGCAAAATGGAGACTTCAAAATGGAGACTGCAGTATCTTGTTTATAACTGAGTCTGCATTATATTTTGTCAGTGAATACAGATGTGGCAAGATGCTAATTTATTTTCAGAGACATTTAAAATGCTACTGATAAAACCTTGAAAAATCAAATGATGGTATACAAAATCTAAAAGAGCCTGAGTGGCACAGCAGATTAATGCTACTTTTAAAGGTAGTATTTAGCTTCCAGCTGCCTGCAATTACTGCGAATTCAATTCTCACCAGGCTCAAGGTTGACTCAGCCTTCCATCCGTTCTAAGGTAGGTAAAATGAGGACCCGGTTTGTGGGGGCAATGAGATGACGGAATTACTGGTAATAAAGTAGCATGGAATACTAATAATAGATTCATTTTTAGATTCCTTAACATTTTCTTTTCCTATCAGGTGCCAACTACTTTATGCTTGATATTTTTTACACTTATTGTCACCTGAATTTGTCATAGGTTCTAGGGATTGCCTCAAATTTACCACCAACCCAAGAATTTGTGGCATTTCTAGATTGGATTTCACTCAGTAAATTAGAAATGGAGTAAGAGGTGTAGAATATAATAGTTGAGTTCTACTCTGCAGAAAATTAGACTTGTTTTTTATGATAACCTTAATACTTATTTTGTGTCCAGATAGTGCTATAGTATCTTAAATAATTATGTGATTCTTAACATATTTTAATCTATCCAGTCATAGGGATTATTTCAAACTCTAGGCCAGCTGGCATTGTTTTACAAAACTGTCATTTAAGTTCAAAAATAGTACAGATTATTGAAAGACAGTTTGAATACATTGTCTTAGATATATTCTAATTATTAATCATAACCTTGAAGATTTAATAAGTTTGCCTGATTAATTGATAGAGCCACCTGTGAAATTTGCCAGCTTTAACCTTCACTTGCTTATTAACAGAATTACTTTAGATTACCTCACTTACCGATAGCATCTTTGCATCACACTTGAAAAAGGATCCGCTAAGCAGCCATAGAATTATGCTGCTAAAAAAGAAAGCAGTCAATTCTGCATAACCCCACACCCCCTCGACTTACTGTAACGCTGGTTGGGGTCTGTAACAAAACTTCGACTTGCTGACATCCTTTGGGTGATGTCAGGATCTTGATCCACTATGGTGAGTGTCACTTGCCTGTTCCCAGCTGGCCATTCTAATGCTCCATCATTCTGGCTACTACATAAAGAAAACATCATTCCCACGTAATCTCCATTTGATTTGGCTGGACCACGGGGATAGAGACTGAGCACAAAGCAGTAGCCTTCAGAGTTATAAAAGATAGGGCTTGACAGATAATCTCCTTTTGAGGAACTCTTTAAAATGGAAGTGAAGTTTCTTATCTGCCAAACGCTGGTAGGACATTGCATTTCAGTCAGAGTGATATCATCAATGTGAATTCCTCCTTTGGAATTCTGTGGGTCTCCTTTAAGGCCATGAAAAACATAGCGGAATTTGGTCCGGCTGTTGAAAGGAATGTTTGCAAAGTTCCACTGCTTCTCTCCATCATCTGAAAGGGGAGAGGGGGGGAGATCTAATATTTGATTCATTTACACATTCAACACATTTTATGCTACTTTCCCCGCGATTATCTCAAAGCGATATTTAGCCGACATTAAGTGAGGAAGATATGACGATGAAATTACTATAACTTAAAAGAGTTGAAGAAACAATTGCATTTAATAAAGTTGGAAAGTCCTCTGCCATAGGATTGCATTCCACTGATGCCATGTTTGAGGTCCTTTACGTGACCACAGAGAAGCAACAGTTTTGTCAAGGCGTGTTCCAAACTTTGCTTAATATTTGAATGTCTTTTCAAAGAAGACTGATTTTTGTTCATTCTTTATTTTTTAGATTTAATCCTTCTGATCTCAGCTGGTCACATATATGAAAGACTAACCTGACGTATTTTAACAGAAGGGGGTTTCTTAACTTTGGTAACTTTCAGATATGTGGACTTCAATCTCAGAATTGGAATGGCTGTCTGACTGGGGAATTCTGGGAACAGAACGCCACACATCTTAAAAGTTGCTGAGGTTGAGAAACACTGTAATAGAGTGATGAGAAACTGTTTGGCATGGAAATTAGGAGATAATTTGCATGCCTGTGTGTGCCCCAATGTGCATGCACGTGCACACACACAGCCGTTCCTTTCTACTTGCCACAGATCTCAACAAAATCCCTGAAAGAGGAGAGCTGTGTGGCTTGGTCTGTCTCACAAGATAGCTTCTGAGTTAGCTGGATGAGGGGGAAGGTTCTTCCTTGTCTCAAAACAGTAACAGAGTTGGAAGGGACCTTGGAGGTCATCTAGTTCAACCCCCTGCTCACACAGACCTGTACAAGGGATTCGAACCGCTGAACTCTGCTGACCTTTCTGATTGACAAGCTCAGTGTCTTAGCCACTGAGCCACCTAGTCACGCTATGTGGAAGCTCACAGACTGCACTAATAGGCTTGCAGTGTGGCATGAAGGGGGAAGCCAGGACAATTCTTATTCCCTCTGCAAAAGGCCACCAATCTTTTCAAAGTTTTTCTGGGTTTATAACACACACGAATTAGATATCGGATATGAGGAGGCGAAGATATCTGATGCTCTCTTTAGAAAATAAAGTGTAGTCCTGGATGTGTCATTGTAACTAAATCGTCAAAGGTTATTTGAGAACTTACGATGGATGCTTGTCAGTTTCATTGACTTCCTAACGTTTCCAGTACCATCATCAGTTTTAAGCCATACAATCAGTTCATCTTTTGGACTGCCATCAAATTTGTAATAAAATTGTAGACACTTTTCATTTCTTCTTGGATAAAGAATACGGGACTCCAAAATGGCTGTTTCACCTGAAAGGCCTTTGGTGGTATCAAAGCTCATAACATAGTCTTTCTCTGTAAAGTAGATGAAGGTGATTTAATGTCCTGTGGACCATGATTCATTTCAGACAATTGTGCAGGATTTCACTGGGTTTAAACTGAGGCGCTCGTGAAAATGTGCTACTGTAATCTTATAATAATAGTAATATTAGCATTCATAACTTTGGTTTCCTAGCCCTGTCTACTTCAAAGGGCTGGCATCATTTTTGCAGGTCTGAATATGCTTCCCTCTCCTTCCCTTCTTCCTGTTATCTTTCTGAAACCCGGGAAGGGTCAATTCTGAGACACTTTCTCAAATTACTTTTGCACCCCAGATTTCTTTTGTTTGGCCATTGCCTTGGTTGTGGGTCTCCCTCCTGATCTTCAAGGTTTTTCCTTCTGCCCACAACATATAATTTTTTTTAATGCCCATATATTTGCAAGAGGAACATAATAATAATAATTGTATGTATGTATGTATTTATTTATGTATGTATATTAGTGTGTGTATATACTGCACATATATATATATCATTATAAGGAGAATTTCATTTCTGATTACTTTGTCACATATTAACACTTTGGATATAATTAACATTTCTAATTTTGTCTTTTTCTTTCATATGCTATATCCTTCCTATTTGTTTTCATTACTAAATGATTTCCAGTTGTACAGCCACTTTCTCATCCATTTAAATTACACATTAGTATGTTACCTAAGCAGTTGTTATTGTTATCCCGACTTGTAGTCAAGGTATGTTTCCAGTCCGCATCGTCTCTTCCATTTTGCACCATGCCACAGATATTGATGGACTCAAATAAACATTGGTCAAGGAGAGTAAGACTGGAAGCTGCAGGAAACAATCCCTGCATTTCAGATTAAAGAAATCTAAATACAAAACTACCTTGTTAAAACAACCTAGGACAGTTTGAGAACCATTCCCAGCTCCATATGCGTGAGAATTAGTGTAATGTAGTGTAGGCACTGGAGGCAATTAATGGGGACTAATAGTTTGATCCCTTCTGCTTCAGGGTCATAGGCAGCCGTAGGCCACAGGTTGTGTATTCATTGATTATGTAAGTTTGGTGGTTGTTGAATGAAACAATCTGGATGTTACTTCCTTGGCTAATTTAACTTCCTCATTGCACTGGTCCTTTTCAGAGGTGATAGATTGGGTAGGAGAATTCATGCATAGAAGCTACTGAAAATTCCTTGGGAAAAACATGTATGATGTATAATCTTGGGTGATGTCATGCAAGGTTTAAGAAGTTGCAATGGGTGTGTCTGCATTCTGATGAACCCCCAAAACACCTTCGTGCATTCAATTCTGTAATTTCCATAGACTTATTCCTAATATAATATAAGATAGACTTAGTGGTTAACTGTTCTTTGTTGGTAATAAATATTTCAGATGTAAGGTTTCACCATTACTGTAACATTAAAAAGTTGAGTAAAATAGAATAAACTTACCACAATGGTACATGCGGTTAAGCCTTTCTACATCTATCTTGCTCATATCCTGGCTTTGCCCAATGACGTTGTTGAATTCTGGAATTTTTGTTGTAATTGAAGGGATAGAATTGTTCTTACTGAATGAATAAGGTCCATAATGCATGACAGATTCATAATCATATGGAGTGTATAAATCAGAAATAAAACTGTCATTATATTTGTTGAAGTTATATGCCTGACCTAGGAAAGAAAATACCAAAGCTGTCAAGCAAGTTTGACTATTAATGCTTTAATATTTTATTAAACAATTAGCAGAAGCAATCATTTATAACAGATATAACTTATACAACTTCATCCGTAATACATTATTTAACAGTTGGTTTCATCACATCCCTTATATTTTATTTAATATTTATAAGAATCCACTGGAAATTGCTTTGCAATTTTGAGTGAATTAATTTGTTGTTGCATTTTAAATTCCAAACAACGGACAGAGTTCAGTAATGGGTTGGTTTTTTGTTTAATAATTGAAAGCTTTACTAAGTTTTACTACTTTAATAACTAATAACTTTACTAAGTCTGCACTGCTATTAATCTTCTCATCATTCCTATCACCCATCTCCTCCCACCTATGACTGTATGACTGTAACCTTGTTGCTTGTATCCTTACGATTCATATTGACTGTTTCCTAATATGATTTGATTGCTTATTTGTACCCTATGACTATCATTAAGTGTTGTACCTTATGATTCTTGGTAAATGTATCTTTTCTTTTATGTACACTGAGAGCATATGCACCAAGAAAATTCCTTGTGTGTCCAATCACACTTGGCCAATAAAGAATTCTATTCTATTCTATTCTATTCTATTCTATTCTATTCTATTCTATTCTATTCTATTCTATTCTATTCTATTCTAATTCTATTCTATTCTACTCTACTCTACTCTACTCTACTCTACTCTACTCTACTCTACTCTACTCTACGATGGAGCAGTTAGATATGTTGAGAGACATTTGATCCAAAGAGTAGTAGATCATTATACCTCTTAGAAAATAAGATGTAAAGTTTGGGAATAGTCCTCAATCTATAGAACATTTATTCTTGAATAATTAAGTGGTAAATAAAATCACACACATAACATAGATTTGTAGATTGGTCTGTACTTAGTGCATACTTAATGCACAACATTGTTGCATTATATTGAACTGCTGTTTGGTACTTTACTTCAATCTGCCTTTTGTACATCTTTAGCCATGTGGCCTTGTGCCTTTCTTATTTTCCCTATTAATTGAAACAGAGATTGATAAATCTATCTTTCATATTTAGGAATTGTCTTTTAGTTAAGAAAAACACAGAATTGTTCATCCTCTCTTGAAGCAAGTAGGAGGCCCAAAATACTCAGGTCAGTCTGTTTTTTCCTTGCCTGAGACATGTGGCATTACTGCATTATGATAGGTTTAATATCCTTTTTAATAATTATAAGGTAAGTAACACTTTCTAAAATCAAATTGAGTGAGATGATTTCTAGCTCAAATCTATCTGAAGTAATAAGAATCCAAACGGGAACAAAAGATTTGAAAGGCGCCAAATCTTCCTAGTAACTTTTCTGTCCCTTCCACTTACCATCAATGATTTGATTCCACCAAATCTTAACATAGTCATCTCGATCAGTGCGTGACTGTTCATGATAAAATCCAAGGGCATGCAAGACTTCATGCTCCACAATATCTTTATATTCACAGCGTGATCCAATAGAAACGACCTGGCCAGTCTGAAGATTTCCCACATAAGACCAGCATCTGTTATACAAAGATATATTTATTCATTCAAAATAGCTGATTTAACACAGCAACTAATATAAAACACAAAGCCACTTAACTTACAAGAGCCAAATGATAGCAGAGTGAGAATTCCCCATCCACCACACAGGATACCATCCTACTTTTCTAAGTTATCCATTCAAAAAAATAAACTGATACTGCTTTATATCAACCAAATGCAACCCCTGGGTGACCCCTATTCTTATAGTTCTTAATAGGCAGAAAATCATAGGACTATTCAGGACTTATATCGAACAATCACAAGTTTTGCAGAAATGACTGTGTATTCAAAGACTTCTTTGCTGTAGACATTAGCCTCATATTGATGGCAACCAAGGGAGGGTGATGTCATGTGAACAGAATTCGTCAACAGGAGTCTCTAACTTGGTTCCCTTCTCATTTAGGTATCAAGATAAACAGGTTTACTAACATATATATTCATGTTTATTAATAATCCATGTGATCCAATGGGGGGGATGGGAAAGGACTATTTACTGCATGTCCCTAAATCAAGATCTTGTAGAAGACCTCAGCTTTGTTTATAAAAACAAACAAACATTGTAGCCCATTTCCAGGTGGAGTTATCATATTTAGTTGGGGGTGTGGGTTTGATGAATTATTTATGCCAAGCAATCCAGACTGCATTATCACTGAACAGCAAGGAATTTCCCAAAGCATTGCATTTTTACTGAATAATCATTAAAAAATGTATAGAGGATAGATTACAGACATATACAGAAAGAATAGGGAAGTTGGATGGGAAAAATTGCTTTTATTACAATGCCCACTGAGGTGATATGGTAATCCATTACTTCAGACTATAAGCAGTGTGTGTGTCTTATAAAGGGAAGAAACCTTATAGAATGCTAGCATGTCAGGAATTCTAGAAATTCTTCCAAGATACTTAGGATTTACCTACATGTTTTCTTAATAAAGCAGTGTCCAGCTCCAAACAAGAGATTCTGTGTGCAGTAAGCTAACTATGGGTCTAGTGATCTCAACTGGAACTGCAATATGCAACCTGGGGAAGATGAAGAGGAAATCTACCATTCCTTCTGGCAACAAGCAGGGAATAGGTTTCCTTGAATACACTGACTTCTCAAAAGGCTGTACTGCAGACTAAATGACACCGCAAGGGAAACATGCCAGGTGGTGCAAATAATAGGTGGAGAATATCCAGATGACAAGAAGGACATGCAAGGGCTACTTCTTCTTGCTTGGTAATAAAGCATTTCAGGGAAATCAAGGAAACACAACCTGATCCAGCCTTGAAATATGGGCAAAGGCCTAGTTTGTGCTTTATACTAGGTTTCGATAAAGAACGAGGGAAGGAATACAATATCATTTAACTACTTTAACTACTGTGTACTTTAATTATGGGCAATAATTATTTAAATGCTACAGCTTTCTGTCATAACATTAGCTTGTCTGTTTGAATAAATTTACCCATCCAGCTTTTCAAATTGGAGGTAGGACTTCTCTCCTTCGTAGGGTTTAAAGTCAATGCAAGACTTGAGTCGAAACATTTCAAATGCTTGAAATATGACACCCTTGGTATTCAGGCCTGAAAGAAAAGAATGCATGTTTTATATTCTTATCCAGGCTGTAGACAAATGAGATGAATGTTATTTAGAAATATTGGATATTTTATTACTAGAACCCTCTTGCTCACTCAGTGCTCCTTCCTCTCCATCAGGGCTTGACTAGAAACAGCCTGGAAGAAAGCAACCACTTCCATATTGCTGTCAGGAAGGTTACATGGACGTAGCTAATGGGTCAGACTCAAGGTGAGTTTGTCTATCTACTAAAAAGCCTGAAATCTGGAAGAGCTGGCTGGAAACATTGAAACTGAAGCCCAAGAGAAAATGAGCACTCAGTTAAAGAAAGGAACTTTGAAGGAACATTTTTAGGAAGTTGCAAGGGGAAGAGGGCAGATGATCTACTCAATTTGCCCTCTACTGGAATTTACTGCTTAATCCATTGTATCTATCATGGTAATAATTAACCTAGAGTTCTAGACCAGAAAATGTCTTGTTACCTATACTGGCGCCCATTTTGTACGGAATTGGAAGTTTCCATCTATAGGCGTCATTCCTCAGTGCATTTCTGTCAAGCTGTTAAGAAAATTAAACTATATTTTTTAAAAGTTAAAAAATAACTTTTTAAAAAAAGTTAAACTTTTTAAAAGTTTATTTTCTAATCTCTTTATAAAAAGTAGATTAACCTTACATACCAGCATGATAATGTCACCTTCAAAGAACTTCTTTCCTGTTGCTAAATTTGGAATGAACAATAGTTAAGAGCAAAGCAATATTTAAGAAATTATTACATGTTTTTGTTATCAAAGTCTTAGACACATAGATAAAAAACAGCATTTGATAGAATTTGTTCCCCGTTTACTATTTAACATGTCCATATCTAGGCCTGAGAATCAGGCTGTATTTTTGCTGCATTGCTATACACTTTAGCTTGAACATTTTTTTACTGGACACAACAGAGTGAATAGACATAGATTGGATGTCATTAGTCATACACTGATGTAGGTTCTTTGTCATAAACAATCTGTTAGAGCATTCTCTGATGTAGTTGGTATGAAGTAAAATAATTGTGATAATGAGGGAGATAAGAATGTCTGAAGTCAACATGCTATCTTGATTGGTTGTTTTGATGTTCTGTATGTAGCCCTACTCTTTTCTATTGATATCAATGGATCCCAGGCAAGTATCCCCCCCCCCAGTTTATATACATAAATATACAGTACAATAGTTCTCTCCAATGGATTTGCTTACCTGCATTGATTTCAGGGATGCCTTGCCTAGGTTTTCCTTCATCTAAGAAGTGCCCTTCTAGATAAATAAATACATACATTAGTATTCAATACGTACTTCTTTACAGATAATTACTTCAGATTGTATGTTTCCCACCTTAGAAAAAGATACTTTTTTGTTTTGGAGTTTATTTTTATTTACCTTCATGTTCTGCTGTCCTCCTGATCTGCAACAGCAATTGGACATTTTTAGAAACTCAAGCAAGGAAAATAAAACAGTATCATATCAAATCCGGAAGTATCTAGGAAAGAATCATACCGTAAGGGTGGAAGAGACAGACAGCAGTGCAGCTAGGCACAGGAGACGAGGAGAAGACATTTTGGAGTGGCTGTGAATGATTGAGGGCATGGCATAAATAACATGTAAATTTCCGGTCTTTTTATGCAGTGTCAGAGAAAATTATTAAGAATTAAGCAACTACAGACTAATATTTAATTCATCTTATTGTTTCCTAATTATACACTTGACAAGGAAATCACTTTAAACAATTATTTTATTTATACACTCCCTGTCAACTTCCTGATTCAACAAAATGTAACTTGTCAGTAGCTCAGAGGAACAATGGATAAGACAGAATAGTGTCTTAGTGCTCCTCTGTCCTGGTCCTGTTAGATCTCTCAGCGGCTTTTGATACCATCGACCATGGTATCATGCTGCACCGGTTGGAAGAGTTAGGGGTGGGAAGCACTGTGTTGCAGTGGTTCTCCTCCTTTCTCTCTGACCGGTCGCAGTCTGTGTTGACAGGGGGGCAGAGGTCGACCCCGAGGCCCCTCATATGCGGGGTGCCACAAGGGTCCGTCCTCTTGCCCTTCCTGATCAACATTTATGTGAAGCCGCTGGGCGAGATCATCCGTGGTTTCGGGGTGGAGTACCATCAGTACGCTGACGACACCCAGCTGTACATCTCCACCCCAGACCACCCCAACGATGCCCTTGAAGTGATGTCCCGGTGCCTGGAGGCGGTGCGGATCTGGATGGGGAGGAATAGGCTCAGGCTCAACCCATCCAAGACCGAGTGGCTGTGGTTTCCGACGTCCTGATATAGTCAATTGGTGCCATCACTGACTATTGGGGGCAAATCATTGGCCCCCACGGAGAGGGCACGCAACTTGGGCGTCCTCCTGGATTCACGGCTGTCTTTAGAAGAGCACTTGACGGCCGTGACCGGGAGGATTTTTTATCAGGTTCGCCTGATTCGCCAGTTGCGTCCCTTTCTGGATCGGGACTCCTTACGCATGGTCACTCATGCCCTCGTCACCTCCCGCCTGGACTATTGTAACGCTATCTACATGGGGCTCCCCTTGTGGAGCACCCAGAGGCTCCAACTGGTGCAGAGTGCGGCCGTGTGGTGGTAATGGGAGCAACATGGCATTTCCATGTAACACCCCTCCTGCGTGAGCTGCACTGGCTCCTGGTGGTCTTCTGGGTGTGCTTCAAGGTTTTGGTTACCACCTTTAAAGCGCTCCATGGCTCAGGACCTGGGTACTTGCGGGACCGCCTACTACCACCAATAGCCTCTCACCGGCCAACATGCTCTCATAGAAAGGGGCTCCTCCGCGTGCCGTCGGGCAAACAATGTCGACTGGCGGCGCCCAGGGGGAGAGCCTTCTCTGTGGGGGCACCTACTATCTGGAACGAGCTCCCCCCGGAGATACGGAGGATCCCGTATCTGCACACCTTCCGCCGCGCTCTAAAGACTTTTTTATTTCACCAGGTGGGCCTGGCCTAACTTTCTCCCTCTTTTTAAACATTTTTAATTTTTTAATATTTTTTAGTATTTTTAATATTCAAAGTTTAAATTTGTTTTAAATTGATTGGGGTTTTAAATTTGTCTGGGCCAAACTATTTAATTCGATATTATCTCTGCTTTTTAAATTTTGTATATATGTATTTTATTGTTGGCTGTTCACTGCCCTGAGTCCTTTGGGAGTAGGGCGGTATATAAATCAGTAGGGCGGTATATAAATCAGATAAAAGTAAAGTAAAAAGTAAAGTAAAGTAAAGTGTAACAAAGACCCCATAAACCTGTCACTCAGTTACTGTAACAGCCAGGCTGAAACTCACAAAGAGCATTCCTCTGAAAGAATGGTGAACCAGAAAAACCATTTAAAAAGTAGGGTTTTAAGAACATACAGGATGCCTATATGTACACATATGTCTAAAGATAACCTGAAAGATTTAGATGAGGCCATCTCTATTCCAGAGTTGTACAATTGTAGGAAATAAATACTTCAAAACACATTTATACAAGGATTTGCTTTCTCTATAAATACCTCTACCTTGGAACACTGAAATTTACAGAAGAGATATTTGTAGCTCAGGGTTGAACTCTGGCAACCTTGATGTTCTCTGAACTTGGTGCTTTTTCTTGCAGACCTTTCATTACCAAGTTAGGTGACATAATCAGTGCTAGGTGGGAGTAGGGTTTTCTCTCTTTTTATATACTACTGACTTGTTCTGTTAGTAGTGGAAATATTTTTGCTGGTTTCTTGATTAGGCTCTTCTTTACTGTTAGATCGTTTGTACGTGTTGATAGTTCCTTGATTAGGGTATTCATTTAATAGAATAAAGGGACTTTGGAAGGGACTTTGGAGATCTTCTAGTCCAACCCCCTGCTCAAGTAGGTAACCCTATATCATTTCAGACAAATGGCTTCCAGGCTCCTTTTAAAAGTCTGCAGTGATGAAGCACCCACAACTTCTGAAGGCAAGATATTCCACTGGTTTATTGTTCTCTCTGTCAGAAAATTTCTCTTTAGTTCTAGGTTGCTTCTCTCCTTCGTTAGTTTCCAACCATTACTTATTGTCTTGCCTTCTGGTATTTTGGAAAATAAGTTGGCCTTCTCCTCTTTGTGGCAGCCCCTCAAATATTGGAACACTGCAATCATGTCACCCCTAGTCTTTCTTTTCAGTAGAATAGACATACTCAATTCCTGCAACCATTCATAGCCTTCTGTCCCCTAGTCATCTTTGTTGCTCTTCTTTGCACTCTTTCCAGAGTCTCAACACCTTTTTTATATTGTGGTAACCAAAACTGGATGCAATATTCCAAGTGTGGTCTTCTCAAGGCAATTATAAAGTGGTATTACCAACACTTCTTGTGATTTTGATTCTATCACTCTGTTAATCCAGCCTAGGATTGCATTGGCTCTTTTGGTGACTGCAGCACACTGCTGGCTCATATTTAAGAAATTGTCCACTAGGATTCCAAGATCTCTCTTGCAGTTTACTGCTATTGAGCCATGTTTCACCTAATCTGTACCTCTACATTTGGTTTTTCTTGGCTAGGTGTAAAACCTTACTTTTCTCTACAATGAACTTCATTTTGATTCATAATGCTCTCTACATGGGGCTCCCCTTGAAAAGCACCCGGAGGCTCCAACTGGTCCAGAACGTAGCCGCGCGGGTGATTATGGGCGCAGCTCATTACACCCATGTAACACCTCTCCTACGCGAGCTGCACTGGCTCCTTGTGGTCTTTCGGGTGCGATTCAAGGTGTTAGTTATCACCTTTAAAGCGCTCCATGGCTTAGGACCTGGATACCTACGAGACCGTCTTTTGCCACCAATAGCCTCCCACCGACCAGTTTGTTCTCACAGGGAGGGACTACTCAGGGTACCGTCAGTCAAATTATGTCGACTGGCGACTCCCAGGGGGAGGGCCTTCTCTGTGAGGGCTCCAATCCTTTGGAATGAACTGCCCCCGGAGATACGGAATATCCCTGATCTCCGTGCTTTCCGCCGTGCCCTCAAGACCCTGATGTTCCAACAGGCGGGGCTAAACATATGAACATGTGAATGATTTTTAAATGTTATCTAATTCTGGGTTTTTATTTAATTGACCAAACTAAGTAATAATTTTAATTAGCAATTTTATGATGTTTGTGTGTCTATATTTTTCTTGACTGTACACCGCCTTGAGTCCTATGGGAGAAAGGCGGTATAGAAATATAATAAATAAATAAATAAATAAATAAATAAATAAATAAATAAATAAATAATAAATAAATAAATAAATAAATAAATAAATTTTATTAGATAGAGCCCAGTGTTCAAGTCTGTCAAGATCCATGTGGATCTTGAGCTTAACCAGAAGAATAGGAGTGTTGGCTATTCCTGTCAGCCTTGTGTCGTCTGCAAATTTGACGAGTTCCCCTTCTATTCCCTCATCTATAGCATTCTGGTCTAGAAAGAGGTTAAAATGAAATATATAAGAATTGTTCATAAATTTCAGGAATAAAGCATCCAGGTATATGGAACCATTGAAGTATTAATAAATGAGAAAATGGCCTGGCCAAACCGTTATATATTATCCCTGGAAACTCCTAGGGAACTGCACTACCTGACACTGCGGTTTCTTCCCCTAACCCCCAAAATGTTAATCTTAGACTGTCTATTGTCGGCCTCACCCCATTCCTAAGGGGCGTGCATAAGCGCACCAGCGTGCCTTCAGTCCCTGTCTTAATGTTCCCTTTTATATGTATCCATTTCATGTATTCATAATTATGTTTATACTTACATCTGTTACCTATTACATACTTGAGGAAACAAACAAACAAGCAAACAAATGAATAAACGAATGAATGGAATAGGCAAATATCCCTATCTTTCAAAAGAGGAGGAAATAAGAACTAAGGAGCTGTAAACCATTCAATCTAACAGTTATATTTGTGGCAATTCCAGATCAGATGTTAAAGGCAGCCATATGTAAGCATCTTGAAAATAATATAACAATTACCAGAAGTAAACATATCTTTCCAGATTAATTGTATCCCATATTTTGACTAGATAACTTACTTAGTAGATTGGAGGAATGCTGCAGTCATAATATACTGTATTTGATTTGACAAAGTATCCAGTGATATGGTTGATTAGCAAACAAGCTAAATATGAGCTGGATGGAATGATCATTAAACTGTCCTGAAAGCTAGGCTTATCAATGATTCCTCCCCAAATTGGAGGGGAATATTGATTTAGTCTTAGTCTTACACTCCCAAATGTGCTTTTCAAAAGGCAACTGGACTTTCTTGGGTTTTTTTCCTTGAAAACCTTTCACTTATCCAAGAAGCTTCTTCAAGTCAGTTCTCACTTCTCAGATGAGAAGTGAAATGCTTTCAAGGAAAAAAAACCAAGAAAGCTTAGTTGCCTTTTGAAAAGCACCTTTGGGACAACCATGACCTGGATGATTGAGAATCTCCATAGACTTGCATTTTTCAACATGTTTATTAATGATAGATGAGAAGGTTTATCAGTCTTGCTGAGGACACAAAACAGATGGGATGCTATTCCTTATATCCCAGAAGACAGAAATGAGATTCAAAACAATTTTGATAGGTTAGACAATTATAATATGTTGAACAGTGATTAAAACAAATGTACAGTATACAAGCAGGAAACAGAATTCAAAAGATTATAGAATGAGATAGATAGAATGGATATAGAATGGAACTTATCTGGCTTGGGAAGTATGTGTACAAAGTTATTGGGACGGTAATTAATTAAAATTGAATATGAGTCAGCCATGTGATATAGTTATTTTATCAACAGAGCAGCATTCCTCAAACTTGCCAACCTTAGGATGTGTGGACTTCAACTCCCAGAACTTCCAGTTAGGATTCTGGGACCTGAAGTCCATGCACCTTAAAGTTGACATGTTTTTTTTAAAGACATTGCAAAGTTCTAGCATATGTTACTATGTGAAATCACAACAGCTTTCCTGATAGCACAGGAAAAATAGAATATGGAGAAACAGAGATGGAAGAGACCTCAAAGGTCTTTTAGTTCAACCCTCTGCTCAAGCAAATGGCTATCCAATCTCTTCTTTGTAAACTCCAGTGATAGAGCACCCACAGATTCTAGAGGCAAGCTGTTCCACTGGTTAATTGTTCTCACTGTCAAGCAACTTCTCCTTAGTTCTAGGTTACATCTCTCTTTGTTAAGCTGTCATCCATTACATCTTGTCTTGCTCTCAAGTACTTTGGAGACTAAGTCAATCCCTTATTCTCTGTGACAGCCTCTCAAATATTGGAAGACTGCTATCATGTCACCTCTAATGTTTCTCTTCATTAGATTAGAAATACCAAATTCCCGCAACTGTTCATCATATGGTTTAACTTCCAGTCCCAACGTCCACTGCATATAAAGAAAACTTATACAAAACATTTTATAGATGGCACTTCCCCCTAGCAAGATTAACTAGAATGTTTAAGAATATGTCTGCCAAGTGTTGGAAGTGCAACCAAATCCAGGGCTCGTATTATCACATGTGGTGTCCGAAAGCAAAAAAAATACTGGACCAGAATACGCACCTGGCTAGAAAAGATGATAAAGGAACATATAGATCTAAAACTGGAAACATTTCTGTTGGGCATCATACTAGACAAATACAGTAAAAGAAATGCATACTTAATAATACATATGTTAACAGTGGCCAGAATTATGTTTGCACAACATTGGAAGGGCGAAGAAATCCCCACAGAAGAAAAGATAATAAGAAAAATTTTAGAATCTGCAGAAATGAATAAACTAACATTTGAAATTAAAGAAATGGAAGACACTGAATATTTTGAGGTATGGGATCTGTTCTATCAATGGCTGGACAAGAGAAACGAGTTAGAACTTCGAAAATTACAAGAGAAAGATTAATTTTATTATTAGGGTTGTTTACTGTAATTTATTAATTTTGATTAATTTTGATTAGTATTAATAATATGTGTTAATATGAGGGGAAAGCACTGTTATTATAGGATTACTATTGAAGAATGCAATTATTGTTACTATGATGAATGTTACTCAAAAGAATTGTAACCAGACAACACACTGTTTATATGGATTTTGAACATGTTGCTCTTTTTATCTATATTACTAAAAAAAAAATTAAAATTAAAGTGTAAGAGAAATAATTTTCATCAGCATTTAGCTAGTTCAATTACTATCCTCAATCCAGCTGGATTATATTTTACTTCCTTGAACAGTGTTGTAGATTTTAAAACCGTGCAGAGATGTCCTCGTAGAATAGAAGAAATGGAAAGAGGATGCATCAGATGGGAAAGTGTCAAACATAAGGAAGAGGGGATTTTGTGGGGGTGGGGTAGAGAATGACATAAAAAGGCATACAGGTACTCCTCTACTTCCAACCGTTCGTTTAGTGACTGTTCCAAGTTACAATGGCACTGAGAAAATTTTCCCCTCTAACTCTGGACTGAAGTAAGCCCCTTTGCTCCACCACAAACTAGCATTAGGAAAGTTACAGGGTCACCTGCCTTAATTCTTTTGCCAATACCGTGCTTACATTTCTAAGAATTTGACGCAGGCTTTGTGCCCATAGATTTCTGCAATTCTTCTTGGGACATCTCCATAGAGATCTGGGGCATCCATCGGTGCGTGCAAGGAGTGCAGTGTTCTCAACACGCCCAGTTGCCCTGATTCTGCAGCAAAATGAACTGGAGTCCAACCTGCCTCAGTTCGCAAAATCAAGCGAGCACCACGTTCCACAAGCAGCTTTACTATCTTTGAGTGGCCTGTTGAAAATGCAAACAGATTAGAGTGATAAGGACAAGGGCAAAAGTAGCTACTTCTGTCTTTCCCATTGAGACAGAAGTAGCTCTTTTACACCAGCCTCTGGAATCTCTTGTTTTGGGAAACGTTGTTTTTTTTTTAAATTCGGAGAATTGGGTTTGTTGTGACTTCTTCAAACTATTAATTGGAGAACTTTTTCACATTCTGCATTGGCTGAAATTTTCCTGAATTACCTGGGTGGATATCATGCACTCCATTTTTTAAAAATGTCTATTCATACAAATACATGGTATAAAGTTACATGTCACTTGGCATTTACCTTGTAACCACAACATATTGGAGATTCATGGTTCACATATTCTAATTTATTTCTATACTTATGGTAAAAGAACAAAAAAAACAACACTCACCAAAAGCCACAGAACCACCATTATAAAAACATTTAACAATAATCTGCAGGAAAAACACTCTTCTTCTCCCTATTAATACAGCTCCTTTCCAAGCACCACACCCACATCCCAGAAAGACTGACTTGTATTCCCCCTCTTGAAATCTTTATATTTATCAGTTTCATGAGCACCATATGGAGGTATTATTTACCAATATATATCTAGGTTATTTTTGATGGGTATTTTCATGAATTTAAATAGGTGTCTAAAATATGTAGATTCTTAGTAGGGGAACATGTCTAAGGCAATACTATAGTGATATTTCCTATTGGCTGCCTTCCATCCCCCAGAATCTCTATTTTTAATATCTGGCTAATGCCTTCCATTCGATATTATGCCTATAAACCCCATTGCATTATATCCACACTCAACTGATGATGGCCAAGACCAGCCCTTATTTGTTCCATTACTCACCAGTCTACTTAATATGGCAACTAGATGAAGCACAATCTTATTGGGGAAATACCTTCTGACTCTTGTGTAAAAATTCATAGATGTGGTGGATGCCACAGATAAATGCCATCTCTTTTGTCCCAACAATTCCTTGTAACGGGCAAGTTAGGCCTTCGTCCCACGCTTGACACAGTGTATTTTGCATTTAAATCATAGGACTTGTCATTAGAGGTGTTATCATGTGTTGGCACTGCTTTATGCCCAAAATTGTATGCTAAGCATAGCATTTTTTTTCCAGATCAAATTTAAACTTTAAGACTGCAAACACGATTCTGGGTAGCTAAGACCAATTTTTAAAAAGCAGACCAAAGCTAGAATCCGTTCTCAGCATTCCAAGGACGCTTCTATTGAAGATTTGGGAGATGGGCAGGGAGGGGGACATGCTTGGAGCAGAGAGTCCCCATCCAGCCATGCCCTGTTTTTGGCCTGAATGGCCTCCTGCATTTTGCAGACCAAAACAGGGCATGGGGGGGGGGGGGCTGCGCCTTAGTTTGACACCCCTGGACTATAGCAATGAGGTGGATCCCCAGAAGGGAGAGGGTGCATTCTAGAGAAATAAGAGGCGACCCAACCCAGTTATTATGTGTGGGAGAAAGAGGGAAATACAGGCTCTCCCTAATAGTTCACAGAGTATATTGTACAAGTAGATTGTAGGATCCTTAGTCGGCCAATAGTCTAAAGTGTGAAACAGGAAAGAATCTGAAGAATTGTCACGTTATTCTTGGTTTTGGACCTGACAATATCCAGGCTTATACTCAGAAGCTTACATAACATTTACTTACAGTATTTGACCTGTAGGAAGACTGCTTTTCCTAAATGATTACCTGCAAATGGCATAGTCTCATTTACATCTACAATATCTATATACTACTAAAACGCTCATTGTCATGCCTTTCAACTGGGTAAAATGGCCCATCAGAGTTCTTGAACCAAGGCACTTCAAATGGGCTAATTTATAGAAGGTGTCCAAATCTGGGACCCATGACTCTTAAGAGGATTAAATTAAGGAACGTTGTGGCTGCTTAGTGCTACTGGTTGCTGCTGTGCTGGTGGGCTGATGCTGCAATCATGTGATCTTCATTTTCAGTATTCTATGACAGTTTCCCAGACAATCTCCCAACTCTCTGCTTCTTCCCCTACCCAGCGGCCTCCACTAACCTTCCTGCTAGAAGGGAAGGGAAGGGAAGGGAAAGAAGGTTTCTCATGCTCTCTGCCAGCTTCCCATAAAAAAACTCAATGTGGAAGCTAGCAGAAAGTCAGAAGTTGTTTCCACTCCCACTGCTTTTTTGCCCACCTATGGTCATTCTATTTCTTTGTTTAGGTAAGGAAATATTTCTGAAATGAACACCCAATGGGGCATGGGTTGTCTAGCCCCTGAGAAAAATAGAAGTTGTAGAAACCAAAGTAATGAACAAAATGAAGATTGAAGATTAACCTAACGATGACTAATGCTTAAAAGTGGCTGTTTGCCTGCTGAATGTACAGGCAGTCCTCGAATTAAAACCACAAATGAGCCAAAAAATTATGTTGCTAAGTGAGACAGTTGTTAACTGAGTTTTACCCCATTTTACGATCTTTCTTGCCACAGTTGTTAAGTGAATCTGGCTTTCCCATTGACTTTGCTTGTCAGAAGTCGCAAAAGGGGATCAAATGACTCTGGGACCAGTGGTGGGTTGCTAACAGTTCTCTCCGGCTTGGGCAAACCGGTAGCAGCGGTAGCGGGAGGCTCCGCCCACCTGCCTGGACACTTCTGCACATGCGCAGAAGCATCATGCATGTGCGAACACGCACGCACAAGCGAACCAGTAGCAAACTAAATTGAAACTCACTACTGCCTGTGAAACTGCAACTATCAGAAATTTGAATCAGTTACCAAGCATCTGAATTTTGATTATCTATCTAAGGGATTCGACAATTGTCAGAAGTGTGAAAAACAGTCATACTTTTTCAGTTCTATTTTAACTTTGAATGGTCACTAAATGAAAGTTGAGGACTACCTGTAATCTTTTAATAAGATTCAGAGAGGGCTTTTCTGTTTGTTATTTTTTCTTCATCTCCATTAAGATTTGTTTCGATCTTTTTATTTTCCAGAGCAGTTTCTGTTTCCTCATAGTAGCTTTTCCTTCTTTTTTTGTTGGAGGGATGGAAAGGAAAGCATGTATTTGTGTGAGAGAGAATAGTTGGTGTATGGAGATGGGGAATCAATGAACTCTGGGATACTTTATTTATAGGCAATTAATCCCCCAAACTGACTTTTCAAGGCTACCAATGGTGTACCCTTGTCACTGTAATTGAGTCCATCCACTCCCTGTTGATTATCCTCTTCTTCCATTTCCTCTTTCCCAGCCTTAAAATCTTCTCAGGTGAGCTGGGTCCTCACATCTTGTGTTCAAAATTTGAGCCTAGTCATTTGCAATTAGTAAGTTAAAAATTAGTAAATTTCTACTTTATTTTTTGGTGGGCGGGGTCTTCTGGCAGATATATCTACACACACATATAATTGTAATATCTCCACATTAATTGAGGGGCTGAGATTTCAGGATTGGTTTTAGCTGGTGTTGGCCTCCCTTGATTGATAAGATAGAAAAGCTAGCTATGCAGGTGGTTTTGGACTGTATTGATAATTAAGAGACTAAATTATCTGTAGCTCAGAGTTGAATCTTGGGTGCTCTTTGACTTTGCTTCCTTACTTGTCTGCTCTGCAGGTATTTCTTTACCAGACTAGGTAATATATTCAGTACAGTAATTCTTTTCTCTATTCTAACTTTATGGAAGCGGGGTGGTCAGTTTAAATTACAGGTTGCCTTCCTTTGGGGTAAATACTATACATTCTAGCTTCATAGCTAAGCTAGTGTGAAGACCAATGAAAGGGCAAACATTTCTTTTATAAATCCTGTGTTTTCCTAGTTTTTGGCTACTGCTATAGATGAGAATGTGACTTTAATGATCCTAAATCTATTGTCAGAAATACTGAGTGCTGTATCTCATCATTACTATCACCATCACTATTCATTGGTTTTCATGTGGTCACTGCTATGGCTGTCATTGCCCTAAATTCTTGCACAGGACATTTAAACTAAGAGAAAAAGTGGGACTAAAAACACCAGAAGATTATGCTCTTCATATCGCTTTCCATGGGGCAGGAAGAAATCTTGTGCAGTAGATTCACAGAAAAATGGAATTTGGTTAAGATTAGAGCTAGGATGAATGGGTAATATTGATTTTTAAAAGAAAGAAAGAAAGAAAGAAAGAGAGAGAGAGAGAGAGAGAGAGAGAGAGAGAGAGAGAGAGAGAGAAAGAGAATGAATAAATACTATGGCAAAAAGGGAATATATAAATTGTGTTGAAATGACTAAAAATTGTTTAAATTTGTGAACTGGCCAATACTCTATTCAGAAAAAATACATTGTATGTGTGTCTGTCTGTGTGTCTAAAAAATAAAAAAACTTAAAAAAAAAGATTCACAGGGATTGCACAATAGTTGTTAATGGTTACATTAGAATGATGTCACAATGCTTCTGGAGGAAAGCATGACATTTTTCTTCAACTTATATCCATTGAGAATGTATAATAATGATATGCATATAGGAGTAGGAAGGTACTTTATTAGCTATAAATGTAGGAAATAACTTCAATAAGCGTTGTAGACAAAACAAAAACAGCTGCAGATATGACACAGGATAAAAGAGAGAAGATTGGCATCAAAACTAATACTAGCCAAGCCAAAACAAAAACCTGTGATCAAAGGACCAAAAAAAAACTTTCTACCACTCTTTTGTAAGTATATCATTACTTTGACCCAAGGAGAGGGAAGCATTCCTGGTCACTGTTGGGATTCATCTTTCTTGGGCATTTGCCACTTATTTTGAGACTGCATCTAATTCAGTAACAGGGCCTAAAGCAGTGATGGTTAACCTTTTCTGAACTGAATGCCCAAAGCGTGCGCATGCATCCGAATCCCTAAAATGCAGTGTGCATGAGGCCCCTTTGCATGTGCCCTGCACTCAGTGGTGGGTTGCCCCCGGTTCACATTGGTTCTATAGAACTGGTAGTAAAACCAGCGGGAGGCTTCGCCCACTGGCCCTGATGTTATCAAAATGCTTTTGCGCATGCACAGAAGCTTCTGTGCTTGCGCAGAAGAGCGCGAGTGAAGAGCAGTCCCATTGCAAACCAGTAATAAAGGTAAGTAGAACCCACTCCTGCCTGCACCCCATGCATGCTCACGCCCCCCCCCGCATGCCCTCCCCCCGCACATGCACGGCAGAAACCCGATGACTAGCTGGCTGGTGGGAGGTATGTGCGCATGCGCAGCAGAGGTGAACTGAGGTGACGGCTCACATTCCAACAGAGAGGGCACTGTGTGCCACTTATGGCACGCATGCCATAGGTTTGCCATCATGGGCCTAAAGGAAGTCCTTTCACTGCAACCCAGATTGAAGGATGTTATTAAATCAGGGCCACATATATGCATGCACCCAGACATGAAAAACACAATAGGCAGACAAGGTGTCCCATGCTGTTGCAAAGAACATCTTACCCTGAACTTCTGCTTGCATTTGGAAAACAATCTCAGTTTATGTAGCAATTTCACTGGAACCATGGCAAGGGTTAAAAGGCTGAACTCCCCATTGCTCATGGTAGTCATTTATGCATCCATGTGGTTGCTATTTGCAAAGGTTATTTCTTTCTCTTGGCCACTTAATAATTTTAGTTATTTAAGTGAATGAATGAATAGAAAGAATACATATATAAAAATTTGGATTTTTGCAGGAACCTTTTGGACACTGAGGATGAACTTTCTAGTATCCGGTGGGATTCAGTACCTATGGATGTAAAAGAGTGGTTAACAGACACTTTTGCAAAGAAAAAAGAGGCATACAGACTGCAACCTGATGAAATAACAAGCATTCGGAGTATTTCATACGCTTTAGAGAATGGCGTTGTGGTAGAAAGGCAAGCATAGATTGCATAGCAAATTATGAGTTTTTCAGAATATGACCTAAATGATGTAGTTGATAATTAGAAAAATGAATTCCAGAATCAGAGCTGGAATTGACCAGAGTTGTTGTTATGGGAAAAGGAGGAGGAAGGAGTATTATGTATGTTCACAGTCTAATAAATAAATCTACAGTAACAAAAAAAATAAAAAAGATCATCTACTACAGGGATTAAACTGTTTCAGCTTTAGGTAGGAGTGTTAGGGACTAGATCCAAAAATAGTTGATCATGTTTTTATACCTATATAACAGTGATGCCAAACCTTTTTGGTGTTCTGACCTAGGCTTCCTGATACAATAAAAGCACACAATGAGTCCCAAAAACCCTCTTTTTATTTCAACAGCTGTGAATTCTGCTCATTCAGAGCCTGTTCATTCTCAATCTGTTCATTCACAGATGAGTCCCAAATAGTTGTAAAGTGTCCGACAGAAGTCTGCCACAGTTCTTCTGATAAGGCTAATAAACACCCACCTTTATCTCCTTTGACATGCTGCCAAGACCTAATTGGCAATTAACTTTGCAAGGCCATACGGAACACAGAGTCAACACGGAGCTGCAGTCTTGAAACCGGCCAGCACAAACAACAGTTGCTTCCTGCAAAGGCCCATGTGCCTTTACTCCTCCTTTATGTCTTATGGGAGGGGCCAATCATCTCCAAGTCTACCCTTTTGTTTTAACTGTTCTTGCCTTCTGGCAGCTCTGTGCATGTGTGTACTGGGAACAGGCTCCCCATGTTCCTCTGCCTCCCTGATGTCCGACGCTGAAGGCTCCGGAGTCCACACATAACTCCCAGATGGTCCTGGCCCCATCTCTGCCTCTGATGCAAAGCCCTCATCCAAGCCTTCCCCAGACTCCAGGACTGGCCCATGTTCCTCCCCAGCCTCCTCACTGTCTGACTTTGCTGCCAGCTCCGCAGACTGCCGGCAGACCACAACATTTGGCACAGAGTGCCCAAGCCAGAAGGGGAAACCCAATGACCAACTGGCTGGCATGCATGCGTGCCTTGGAAACCTGACGACCAGTTGGCTGAACTGGGGTGATGGCACTCGTGCCCACGGAGAGGGGTCTGCATGCCACCTCTGGCATGCGTGCCATAGGTTTGCCATCACAGCTATATAATAGAGTGCCATAGGCTGTAATCATCATTGGGGCTATGTAATCCCTGCAATTTGTGAACCTGTGCAGAAAATTCAAAATGAAACATGAATCGTGCTAATGCAAGTCCAGCCCCTAAAATGTGTGTCTTTGAAGTGTATAAAAACCAACATGTTCTTGCTTGCTATTCCTTTCTTTCTATGTTTTTGTTTGGAATTTATGGTGGCCCTTGCACTCTCTTTGTTTTTCTATTGTATGATGTAAGAGATGACCAGGCTGTACCTGAGAGAGGGGACAAATGCATCCTTAGTCCCTTTGCATCCACAGGAGATCTAGGTCCAGCCCACCTTGAATTCCTTTGAAGCCATGTTGACTATTAGTAGTTCAGATTCTTGTAGAGAGCTTTAGCTTGCAATAAATCTTTATATTCATTTGAACTGCCTGGGTTTCCTGATTTTCCTGGTGCTTGACATAATCTCTCTTACCAATGTCTTGCCAGCCCCAACTTCAAGCTGTTGAGCCATTCATCACTTCCATTAAGAAGACTACAAGTAATTCTTGATTTAAAGCCATTCATTTAGTGACCATTCAAAGTTACAATGGCACTGACCTCCAGTTGCAACCTTGGCATGAACAGCTGGAAAATAGCGGGCTCTGCTGAGCCGTCTTGTAGGGATAGTGAAGGAAGGAGAGGCACTTCGCTGACCATGAGGAATCTGCAAATTCCTCGTTAGGTCCGAAGCAAGATCTCCCTGAACAGCAGCAGGCACGGCTGCCCCGAAGCCAGGACAATTGGGAACCAAGATAGTGCAGGAGTGGTGTATGGACAGAACATTGAAATTGGGTGAGATATTTACTAACTTTTACTTTAACGACTTGCAATAACAAAAAGATTATGAAAAGAAAACTCCTAAGCTTAAAATAGTGGTGAATTGACACACAGAGAAAAAAAGAAAAAGCTGGAAATGACAAGGTGAAAAAAAAGCCCAAGAGAAGCTATAACACTATAGCTATAGCCCAAGAGAAGCTATAAAACACAGACAGCTGGAAAAAGCCCAAATAATCTGAAAGCGACTTTAGGGAGAAATTATTTGTGTATTTTAATTTCTAAACCCCTTGGATTTATCCCACAATCAGCTGTTTTTGACAGATTGCTTATTTTGGATTGGGGCATAAGAGAGCCATCTACTGGAGAAAGAGAAGTACTACAATACTATAGCCGCAGTATATTTAATGAAAGCTAATCTAATACACAAAGTCTGATACACAGAACTGAAGTAACAACATCTGGTGAATGGCCTGACCTTGACTCTCTTGTTAGAAGACGACTGGAAAAATTTGAGAACATTCAATAGTGGTTTTTTTTTTCTTTCCTTTTGAAGAGTTATAAAAGGAACTAATTTGCAAATAACTAAATCTTACTAAAATTGACTTGGATTATAGATTAGAAAGACTGGAAGAATTTAGTGGACTAACCTGGACAAATTTGGACTTGGACTATTAATGTTATTTAATAGAATATTCTAAGAGGCAAAAGAAGAAAAGGTCAGAAGAAAAGAGAGAAGGAGGAAATAAGATTTTAAAATTTGGACAATTGGGGAACTATAAGGCTGAAAACTATTATGAAATAAAATGTGGGGTTTTGGCGATATAGCTATGGGATTGATGTAACTTGATTAAATAGAAGTTTCTTAAATATTGAGATATTGGAATAATAGAAATATACTTTTTATAAGCTGTATTAAATCACTATAAAATGGATTTATCATTTTACATAGGAAAATAATGTAAGATCTTGAATCAGCTGCATGTAATCCTGGGATAAAGCTCTGTATTATTGGAAAATCTTGAAAGCAGGTTTTATACATTCACTCTGGGTAATCTATAAAACTACTAGAAATTTACAGAACATGACTGTATGTAACCATCCATTGATTCCTGTTAAGTGTATTTATAAAAGTCTGACTACCATATTTTTCGGTGTATAAGATGCACTTTTTTCCGCTCCCACACCTCTTCCGTTGCTGTGCATGCTTCTCCCTCCATCACTACCTGGGATTGATCTTCCTTACTTAGCAGAGGAATAGGCTTTCCAAGAGAGGGAGGTGAGCAACGGCTGTAAGGAGCTCTCCCAAAACCAAATTAGGTTTTTCTTTTTTAACGTTTTTAAAGTATTTTTATATTTTTAATTCATTTTTAATCTATTTTTATTTATACTGGACTTTTACAAAGCACATATAGTGTGGCTACTGTTTGTTTTAGACATATTTTAACAACACTACAACCTGCATTCCTGGCTTAGGCTACTCCTGTGACTTCTCCTTGCAAGGCCTGAAATTCGGATTACCGGACTTGTTGACAAACCTCAGTGGAGGCCCCTAACCTCGGAGGGGATTTTGAGCTGTTTGTTTTTGGAACGAGTACAGTAAGGAACTGGCTGGCTGCAGACACTCCCGGTAGGCCTGCTTTTAATGAAACTCTATCAGCTTTTTAGTCTCTTTCTCCCACATATTTCCCTTGTGAAATAATTTAAACAATTTAAACAATTCTGAAAATAGATGATAGCAAGGAAGTGGGAGTAAAAGACAAGCCGTTGTTTGGAAAGGAGATTGGTTTTTACCTCTGTGGTGCCTCGGCTGAGACCATCATTAAGGCCTACCTTAACTACGATTGCTGAGGGAGGATAAATTGTTGCGATATTTAATTTCGCTGGGAGATACTGGATCAACTCTCTACCAGAATGGGAAAGAAAAGTAAGAGGCAGAGAGCTTGCTCTCTCTCCCCAAAATCTATGACGGAACTTAATTACTCCAAGCCTCTTAAACAGCTTAAACTGGATGACTTTATGGAGAGGTGTAATCCAGAACCCCAATCTGAACTTCGAACTTTGTCTCTGTCAACTGTATCATTGGGAGGGGGAGATACAGAAGGGGAGTTTTCTTCCCGGATTTCAGATTCAAACTCCCCTGCTAGAATGGGTGATTTTTCAAGCTCTATCCCCTCTCCTACTCCTAGCTGCTTAAAAGAAGTTCCGACATATTCAGACCTCAGAGAGATGGTCTGTACTCAGAGTATGTTAACTGCGCACACAGTAGATTCAATATATGACTTACTGACATCGATCAAAAGAGACATCGAGAGGATCTTCCAATTCTTAAATGGCCCTCACTCTGCAGCTAAGGAGGGTGAGATTGCACACCGTCCTGAGGCGCGGAGAGAGTGGGAGGGTGTAAGACCTCAACCCAAACAACAAAGCATTGCAAGTACTGATGCTAACCCTCATCAAGGAAGAAGGTTGTTAAAGAAACAAATCGCTTTAAGGATAAGGAAAATCCCATGCAATAGAGGACGATGGACTTCAAAGGAAAGGATAACCCTCTCACTTGCACAGCTATTGAAATCTGATCCTTTATTAATAGATCTACTCAGATATGAAAAACTTCCCCAGCATAGCAATTGTGTCCGACTAATACTCCATTTTGACAGCAATACTATACCGAACGCTGTAATAAAAAGAAAAGGATCCCTGCTCAGATTTGAAGTCATTCCTACAAGAGTCTTCACAAGTGGGCCCATTAAACCGCTTTTACAAGGACTTAACCAAACATCAAAAATGGTACCCAAGAACCACGCTGCTACCTCCAGGGTCTTTCCTCCAGAATCCGGAGAAACTATGGAGGCAGGTCAGATCAGGGAGGTCCCACATATAAAGGCAAGCACCGACAAACCAGAGGATGCTATAATCAGCGAATTTGTCTCCTTGTCTCCAAAGGAGCAAAGGTCGATGTTAATTGAATTTGATTTATTAAGATCTTCGCTAGCACAAGCGTGTAGTTCAACGAGAAGGCTATCCAAGTCGG